AGGCCCTTCCCATTGTGCAATCCATAGCCTCAGCTGAAACTTTCGCACCCCCATACAGCCACTGAAAGTATTACGGTAAACAAAGTGCGCCCACTTCAAACATTGTCGTTTCATTGTACAAACAATTCGATTAATTTAAAACGTGATAACACGTGCAATTTTAGTGTGAGTGGTTTATTCAGCGGTGCTTAAGTCAGAGGTAAGTGTTGCATAGTGGATAGTCCTACCATGAAAAGATTAAATGAGGTATGACACGTCACACGTGTAAAATATTTTTGGGATAGCCCGCACCTCCATATACCCCGCAGGGTCTTGTTTTGTTTATAAAAAGTGGTATACCCCGCAGGTCATATGTGGGAAAATACGGTATTAGTGGCGTAGTAAAGACATTATCAGTGGCGTAGTCACTCCATGATGAGTGGTGTAGTCACTACATTATCAGTGGTGTAGTCACTACATTATCAGTGGCATAGTCACTGCATTATCAGTGGCGTAGTCACTGCATTATCAGTGGCATAGTCACTGCATTATCAGTGGCGTAGTCACTACATTATCAGTGGCATAGTCACTGCATTATCAGTGGCATAGTCACTGCATTATCAGTGGCATAGTCACTGCATTGTCAGTGGCATAGTCACTGCATTATCAGTGGCATAGTCACTGCATGATCAGTGGCGTAGTCACTGCATTATCAGTGGCATAGTCACTGCATTATCAGTGGCATAGTCACTGCATTATCAGTGGCGTAGTCACTGCATTATGAGTGGCATAGTCACTACATTATCAGTGGCATAGTCACTGCATTATCAGTGGCGTAGTGACTACATTATCAGTGGCATAGTCACTGCATTATCAGTGGCACAGTCACTACATTATCAGTTCGGGGAGTGCAGCAATCGGTCAGGTGGGGTCCCCGATATTGTATTTGTCTCGCATGGTCCCACCTAGAGGCTATTGTAATATCGCGGACTCATCTTGCCTAATCACATCATCGTCGTTACGCTCACGGTCTCGAACATTTAACGCTGTGGGGGGCACCCCGTCTTTTTCGCATGATTCCTTGTAAAAGGTTTCAGTTTGGTGTTTTAACTTCTCAACGCCTGTTTTGTTGCCAGAACAAAGGGGAAAACTTATTCTCAAGTATCGCTCTTGTTCTTTGACACTATTGCCGAAAACAAATCTCACGGTGGTTTTCAAGAGGGCCCAAAACTCGTAGCTTTGGCCACCAAGTGGGGGGGGAGGGGCAAGGCCACCCCCCCCCCCTGCCCCCCACACAAGTTACGCTACTGGCCTTCCGTGAATCTCCGGCAACAAAGTGACCCGGCGCGTGACCGATACTGTCCGTGCGACGTTGCCGGCAACTACGCCGTTGTGCAAAGTTGTGAGTTGCGGTCAGAAAGCTTGCGACGTCCGTCCGTTGCGTTCGGTTAGTTCATTGCATCCTGCTATCGTCGCAGCTGCGGTTGAACGGTGCCGCAATATTCGCCGCGCTCAGCTAGCAACCTGACAATCTTAATTTCGATTTCCGGCCACGGCCAAATATCAGCAGCAGCGACGACTGATTTACGAATTGATTCCGGGTTTCCCCCCCCCCCCACCACCACAACCCGCCCGGCCCCCCACCCCAGTGCCAAACCGCGCTGACCGGCACGGTGAAGTATGGTTAAACAATCCCCATGATCAACACAGTATGGGGAGGCTTCTGGGTAGACTCTGAGCAGCAGGGGAGTGCTCACGCGCACACCGTTCTGTGATCCCACAGACGTCTGTCTGTACGTATGAGTGTGCGTGTTGTGTTCGGCCGGATCGAGGGGGCTAAACGGGCGCGGCACGGGCTCGAGAAGAGACGGAGTGATGTGGTACAGGAGAACGTGGAGCTGAGTGGACTTGCCGATGACCGGTAGCAGCGGTGTCAAGATCGGCCTGTGTGGAGGAAGTTCGTGGAAGGACGCTGCTACTGGACAGTTGGAGGCAGTCGCCTCTGATCTCTCGTCTCTGATCTCTCGTCTCTGATCTCTCGTCTCTGATTTCTCGCCTCTGATTTGTCGTCTCTGATGTTTCGCCTCCGCGACGGCTCCCAACTCAGGTTTCCATTGGAGTCACGAGCCTTTTGCCTGTCCGAGGACGGAAACTGTAATATTTACGAAAAAACTGAGCATATCTTGTGTAAATTTAATGGCAGTGAATCTTGCACGAAAGTATGTCATCAAACACCTCACTTCATGTCACGGTAGCACTGTATATAACTGACCTTCAATTTGTTCAAATTCACTGCTCTGATACTTTATTCGCTTCTGCTTTCGGTCGCTGGGGTTGAAATGAATTGGAATTCGATACATCTGGAAAATCACCGAGAAATGTCTATTTTACCATAATGTAGAAGCATAAATTTGACTTATCTTTTGTCTCAAGTGCTGAAGAAATAAATAAAGACACCACATCCACTTTGTTGCTGCGTAGAATTACTTATTAGATTCACTTTCAATAATAAAAAAAACCGTCAAACTTAAAGCGAATTTGCGAAAAAAATTATTTCAGCTCGACCATCTTCTGCGTGAGTGTAAAAATCCACCCGCTCATGAATATTCATGAGCGGGCGAGGGGGGGTTGCGGCATGTGGAGTGACGTCACGCGCGTTACACACAGACATTCTTGGCACATTATAGTCGTAATTAGTTTGTTTGTGACGTTTGAATCCGAACGCCAAAATACTTTTATTGCAGTGAATTAATGACAGCGTCAATCGCAAGGACTTCAAACTTAACGGCCAACTTAACATTTCCTCGTACGATCACCCCATCGGTGTGTCGTTTTTATTTTTTTAAACGGCCGAGACATTTGTTTTGCGAGGATAGCGTCAATCGTGGCTGCGAATTTGAAATAAAATTATCGATGATAGCCTCTCCCCTCCCCCTCCCCCCACCGCAATGCCTCGCACTTAGAAACTGCGCACTCAAGCCCCAGCGCCTATCGTTTATCTCCCCGACTCGACCGCTGCGCCACGAAGATAAACAACGGGGATTGGCACGTCGCCCTGCTCCGTCGCGCACACGTGCGCGCACACAAAGCCAACGACGCCCCCCTATAGCCTCCGACAGACTGCTGGGGCAAGTAGGCTGTGAGCGAGTAAGCACCGACGAGGGTCAGACGCGGCGCACGATGGGGCTGGGTGGTGGCCCAGCGCCACGCCCGGGACCGCCTTTGTCTCCCCAGTGGCGATGTTTTCTACACAGCACCAGGTACTCATTTGAGGCCGAGTCGACCGAGGGGAGGCCCAGGACCGGTTCAGATGATCTCCATTTGGCGTTGGCCGTGAGCGGGAATCAGAACTCGGGTGGCCCGGGTTTCGTAGCGCAGCGTAGCGCTAAGGAGCCGCCCATAAATGACGTCACGAGATTTTTGACGATTTTTGACCCCCCCCCCCTCGTCACACGGCGTCACAAAAAGCCAGATCCCCCCCCTCAAATATGACGTCACAAAGCTCTGCCCCCTACAAAAAAATGCTTCAAATCGCTTTAAACTATTGTCATTGTAGTGCGTATTTAATGTGGCGCTGCACTCTGATGTTGCAGGAGAAAACATTTATTAAAAAGTCTATTTAATTAAGTAGAACGTGCTGTCTATATTTATTCAAAGTTGCGCATTTTGCTGTGACGTCACATTTCTCAACCCTCCCCCTCGTCACATCGTCACAAATTTATGACGCCCCCTAGGTGCGTGACGTCATTTATGGACGGCCCCTTAACCGCAACACCACCGCTCCCCATACACTCGTGCACGTGTGTGTCCACGTGGTTGCGTGCCGAGTCTGTGCTCAACTGCGTGTCTCTGTGTTTGTTTGTGGGTCACCGCGCGTGCAATGCGATTCGCGTTTCTCTTTGTATGTCTCTCATTGTTGAGCACCTTTCTAATTTCACGTTGAGTTTGAGTTGTAACGTTGTGGTGGTGGTGATGATGACGATGACGACGCTTTGAGTGGCCGATTTGTGCCAGAGGGACGCCACGGTGGCTATGAGATGTTAACTACCTCGCCTGGTACGCAGGAGGTCGTGGGTTCGATCCCGACCGTGACGCCTGCTGTGTATTTGGAGTTTGCGTGTCTCTCTCTCATCATCATCACGGTGGCTAGGAGATGTTAACTACCTCGCCTGCTCTACAGGAAGTCGTGGGTTCGATCCCGACCGTGATGCCTGCTGCTGTATAGTTTCCATGTCTCTGTCCCCGTGGTCGCGTGGACTTTTCTCCGGATCCTCCGTTTTTTTTCTCCACATATAGAATCAACATCACGCGTTTGAGAGCATTTGCCTGCTATGCATTTTTACACGATAAGCCACTTTTGTTGAGCTATCATTTGGGGACCGGGTCACTTCCGACAAAGAGCCGTACAGCTCAGTGTGGGCCTTAACTGGTAAAATAAAATAAACCATTGCTTAGTTTACAGTTCATACAAACTGAATCGCCAGCGCATCGAGACACCTTGACACGTGGGGCAAAGGCGCAGCCATGCAAGTGCTGCCTGCTGGCGGAAGGCCCTCCGCTAGAGGCGAGATCTCTGCAGCGAGCATCAAAGACAGCCCCCTCCGGAGGGTATTTTTGGGCCTACTCTTTTTCCGCACACGCAGGGCGCCTCTGAAAAGGCGCCAGTGACCCCACGCTGCATCACCCAACGCAGCCACCGTGGCAGTGCCCACCGACTTAACTGTTGCCGGACACGGTCGCGCCGCTGGGCCAGACAGAGGCGTTCGTCTCAACTGCCGTGCCAGGAGATCAAAGTGGCGACCTCTCCTCTGGCTTGTCCGGATCCGGTCACCGTCTCACCACGGCAGCATCTCGATGATGCGCTAAGCGCAGCGAAACGAATATACGATGGTGACACTGACGATGGCGACACTGACGATGACCTAAAATGTGAAATTGTTATTTATTTTTTTTGCAGAGTGAAACGGACTCTTGCGTGTTGTTGTTGTTTATTAAAAATAAGACATTTTTGTTGTTATCAGGAGCAGCATGTGGCACGGATACGATCAGAGTGGTGGAAGGAGGCAACGCAGAATGCAACTGCACTGGAATCAACGTCACGGGCCTGCGGTTGACGTGGATTCCAGACAACGCCGAGTGTGACGAGCCTCTAGATCCAGGGGATCATTCGCGGTGGGACCTGAAAACCGACGGGGAGGAATGCCGGCTGATCATCAAAAAGATGAGAATGAGCGACAGGGGCGTGATTTTACTGGAATCGTCGTCGGGGCAACGCCAAGTAAAGCTGTTCATCGAGCCGGGTGAGTGCTCGCTTTCTGTTGAACATTTAGAGATGTTAACTACCTCGCCTGGTACGCAGGAGGTCGCGGATTCGATCTCGACCCTGACGCCTGCTGCTGCTGCTGCTGTATATTTGGAGTGTTGCGTGTCTCCCTCACCGTGGTCGCGTGGATTCTTCTCCGGGACCGCCGATTTTCCCCTCCACATTTGATGCAATGCGTCCGGCCACCGAGAGTGAGAGAGAGAAAGTGATTCGATAAAGTGATAAGAGAAAAAGTTACGAGAGATAAAGTGATGAGAGAGATTGTGAGAAAGTCATGAGATCATTCTGATAATGATCAAGCGTTCAATAGCTTATTTACGTAATTATTCAAGATAAATAATTTCAAAAAGTTTTCCTTTAGCCAATATCACTACCCCGCGAAGTTTTCCTTTCACGAGCGTCTCCGAAAACGTGTCCCCCGCGATTAACGAGGTGCGCAATCGCGCAGCCGAGCGAAGCGTCCTTCCTTTGTTGTTTCTGTGCCCGCCCAAAGTGTGCACAGCGCTCCACATACAAAGCGCGACGGACAACACGACGGACGAAGTGCGCCTGACGTGCCGCAGCGGCGGAGACGTGGCGCCGGAGGTCGGGATTCAGTGGACGTATCAGGGACAGAATCAGCCTGCCCGGGGCAGCACCGTGCTGGCAAATCTGCAGCACCAAGGATTGTGGAGCTGCACGTACAAAGGGCAGACTGCGGGGTTCTGCCTCGTCGAATCCAGTAAGTGGAATTTGACCCGCGGACGGGTCGGCCGGCCGCCGCGGTGTCGGTCCGGCCACCGTGGTCAGCCACCTACCGTTGGTCGGTCGGCCACCGTGGTGAGCCAACTACCGTGGTCGGTCCGGCCACCGTGGTGAGCCAACTACCGTGGTCGGTCCGGCCACCGTGGTGAGCCAACTACCGTGGTCGGTCCGGCCACCGTGGTGAGCCAACTACTGTGGTCGGACGGCCACCGTGGTGAGCCAACTACCGTGGTCGGACGGCCACCGTGGTGAGCCAACTACCGTGGTCGGTCGGCCACCGTGGTCCAATACGCCACCGTGGTCGGACGGCCACCGTGGTGAGCCACCTACCGTGGTCGGTCGGCCACCGTGGTGAGCCACCTACCGTGGTCGGTCGGCCACCGTGGTCCAATGCGCCACCGTGGTCGGACGGCCACCGTGGTGAGCCACCTACCGTGGTGTCGGTCCGGCCACCGTGGTGAGCCACATACCGTGGTGTCGGTCCGGCCACCGTGGTCCAATGCGCCACCGTGGTCGGACGGCCACCGTGGTGAGCCACCTACCGTGGTGTCGGTCCGGCCACCGTGGTGAGCCACCTACCGTGGTGTCGGTCCGGCCACCGTGGTCCAATGCGCCACCGTGGTCGGGCGGCCGGACTTGCAACGCAGTGGCCGCAGGTTTCCTCTCCCGTCTTCCGGCGCGGCGGCTTGGAACGGCGGTGCGATGCGTGGGTACTACCTCCCAACGCTGTCGCGACGTCCGGCCAGCGCGCGGAAGAGTAGGCCAAATGCCCTCAGAGAGGCGCTCGAGTGGAGGCCCTCCAGGGGCAGGGCATGGAGAGGCGTCGCTCACCGCTGTGGCCGGCAAATCCACCACGGCCTCCTTGGTGCAGTGCAACCGCAGCGCCGCCACCCCATGCACGAACTCCGCATTCGACGATCACGGCGGAGATTTGCCGCGCCCTCTGCAAGCTGCGATGGGCAGCGCGCTCTTGAAGTATTGACGTGGGGTTGCTTTGTCCTCACGTATTACCGCATTCGAAAAGAAGAGCGGGCCCTTCCCGTTATTCCGGTCGCCGGACCCCTGCGCTAAGCCAAAAAACGAAAGAAGCGAGCGAACAAAACGGAGCAATCAACCAAACTTGTCCATCCGGTCGTGACCCACAGGGATCTCCGAAATCAAGGAACCGGAGTGCGAGGGCACGGAGCTGACCCCAGCCACCCGAGCGAGCGACCGCCTATCGCCGTCCATCATCGAGATCGCCCTCGCCACCGCGGGGTGCCTTCTGGTGGTCGTCGCGGGGATGGCCGGCGTTTATTTCTACAGCGAGAGTGAGTGGCGATGTCCATCGGCAGGCAAACACCGACGGAACCCGACCTCTTCTCGATGGGGGTCGTGGTGGGGGAGGGGGGGGAGATCGCCTTACCGTGCCGGCAGTGAGTACGGGCGGTCACCGGCGTCGGGTGCGATTCGGATGCCCAGGGTTGGTGAACCACGAAAAGAGTTGTGAAACTGCGAGCAGACGGTGATGATGGCGGCACTCTTCTCGGTGGTTCTTCAAGGCCAGGTGTCGATTTTACAACGGCTCTGGGTTCTGGATGCACCGTACGTGTGTACGTTGAACTTCTTTCGCACCGTACGTAGCCAACCGCGCTAATGAGGGGTGCAGGGGAAGGACAACAAACCAGGGAGATGCTTGACAGCGGTGGGTCAATATCGTTTCCCACCTATTACTAAAACTTAACTAGACTATTTTTTATTTTTTTTACCAGGTAGGGCCCACTGAGCTACACAGCTCTTTTTCAGAAGCGACCTGGCCACGAATGATAGCTCAGCAAAGTGGCTTATCACGTGGACATTTAGCCGGACACGCTAAACGAATGTTTGATTCTAAATGTGGAGGGATGAACCGGAGGACCCGGAGAATAATCCACCCGATCACGGGCGAGAGAAAGAGACACCACAAACTCCAAATACACAGCAGGCGTCAGGGTCGGGATCGAACCCACGACCTCCTGCGTACCAGGCGAGGTAGTTAACATCTCCTAGCCACCGTGATGATGATGAGAGAGAGACACACACAAACTCCAAATACACAGCAGCAGGTGTCAGGGTAGGGATCGAACCCACGACCTCCTGCGTACCAGGCGAGGTAGTTAACATCTCCTAGCCACCGTGATGATGATGATGAGAGAGAGACACACACAAACTCCAAATACACAGCAGCAGGCGTCAGGGTAGGGATCGAACCCACGACCTCATGCGTACCAGGCGAGGTAGTTAACGTCTCGCCAACGTGGTGGACCTGGCGTGTCAGCGGGCCGCAGGAGATGGAAGCCAACGATGGGCGGACGTTCGGCCGTGCACATCAGCAGGCTGCCCACTCCGGGCATCAGAGCACCACGGCAAGTGTGGCGAGCGTCAGCAGCGTTGACGTCTTGACCATTGTCATGAAATCCGCGTGGAAAAAAAATAAAAACTTCTAATAATTTCGTTCCATTTTCTTTAACAGGCAAGAAGGCACTCATCTCACCTTACGTGTCAGAGTAAGTTCAAGCAAACCACCGGCCCCGCACCACCGACCGGCACGGTTGCCCTCCTATGCGCGTGCGTGCGTGTGTGCGTGTTGAACTTCGTTCGCACCGTACGTAGCCGACCCGTGCTGATCGGAGGTGCGATTGTTTGAGCTGTTCGTCTGCGTAGGCCAAGCATGAGCAATTACCATGAACTGAAAAACAACGCGTGCCCATCACCGTCTTTCGTGACGGCTGACAAAAATAATATCTCTGGGACCTTTCCTGCCAGTATCTAAGTATGAAAAATAAGAATAGGCTTTACCCTTTCTGGCAACAAAACACGTCGTGAGATCTCCAAACACCACGTAGATACCTCCTCTTTGCAAGGCTGCATCAAGTCTGCGTTAACCATACAAGGTACTTGTGTGGTTAACACCACGTAGATACCTCCTCTTTGTAAGGCTGTACTTGTGTGGTTAACACCACGTAGATACCTCCTCTTTGCAAGGCATCAAGTCTGCGTTAACACCACGTAGATACCTCCTCTTTGCAAGTCTGCATCAAGTCTGCGTTAACCACGCAAGGTACTTGTGGCAGAAACGTGCACATTGTCAGAGCATGTTTGTCTGCATGTTTTGAGGGGTCACCACGCCTTGGCATGGCGCGTGTCCCTTCCCAACCATACTTCACCACGATGGTCAGTGCCGGTTGGTGAACAGGAGGTCAGGGCCAGCTTCAGGTGCCGCCCGCCACCGATGTTAGCCATGGCCCGGGAATCGAACTCGGGTTCGCTGGGTTCGTAGTGCAGCGCACTTCAGCCACCATGTCACCATTTTGCCCCATTGCCTGTTACGTGTGCACCTACGTATGTTGAGCTTCTTTCGCACCGCACGTAGCGAACCGCGCTGATCCCAGGTGCGGGGAAGTGAAACCTGCCCGATGTGCTTTCTTTTTCAGACCTGCCGATAGCCTGAGACAGTCTCGTCTGACCTGCCATCCGGATTACAGCTACAACAACGGTAATGAGAACCCGAAGACCTTCCCGACGGCAAAGCACGTGACTCCAGGGCCCTTCTGTCAGCCACTGCTGCTCATTCCTTCGCTGTCGTCATCCCCTTCCGAGCCACGGGTCCTGCCGTGGCCCGATTACTTTCCTAGACATTCAATGCGGTTGGGTTTGCACGTGTTTCCCTCCTGCCGCATGAGTTCCTCTCACTGCGTCTGCGTAATTGCACGGCGTGCATCTCTCCGCACTTTGTGCGGCGCTCGTAATCCTTTGGTTTCGGACGAGCGGGCAAACTAAACTATTTTTTTTATCTTACCAGATAAGGCCCACTGAGCTACATATATAGCTCCTTTTCAGAAGCGACCTGACCACAAATGATAGGTCAACGAAGTGGCTTATTACGTGGAAATGTACGGCCGCCAAATTCTCTGAGCGCGTGGTGATGTCGACTCTAAACGTGGAGGGAACATCTTGAGGGTCCGGAGAAAAATCCGCGCGACCACGGGGAGAGAGAGAGACATCGCAAACTCCAAATATACAGCAGCAGCATGCGTCAGGGTCGGGATCGAACCCACGACCTCCTGCGTACCAGGCGAGGTAGTTAACATCTCCTAGCCACCGTGGCAAGATGTAGCCAGAACTGGTGCCAATAATGAATGCAAGCTCTGCGATCCTGTACGGTGTTGGGATGTTTTGGCCAACTCCATCGACGAGCGTTTGTGCATGTGAGAGTAAAACAGAATTCCCGGAGGAAAGCCGTGCATGCGATGGAGTGAACACCCAACCCCCACGCAGATTAAAATGACTGGGGTATCACTCAAGTGAGAGTGGAATGTGAGAGCCAATATTGAGTGTACAGAATGTAAGAGTCAAAATTAGGTAGGAGCCAGGTGTTTAGTTTGTTGTTCTTACCCCCACACCTCCAATTAGCAGGGTTGGCTACGTACTGCGCGAAAGAAGTTCAACATACATATGTGCATGACTCATAGTGGAAAGTCCACTTTTCTATGACAGGGGCGAGTCTCTCTTGAACGGCAGCTTCTTAGCTCAGTGGGCTTCACTCGAGAAATCAACTTCCACTTACAATTCATTTTATCAGCACCGGTGGGATGACGGACTGCTGAGTCAACCCACACCCCCCCGCCCCCCCCAAGGAGGATTTGATATTGCGAGCTGCGCCACGGTGGCTATGAGATGTTAACTATCTCGCCTGGTATGCAGGAGGTCGTGGGTTCGATCCCAACTCTGACGTCTGCTGCTGCTGTATATTTGGAATTTGCGTGCTTGTCTCCCTCTCTCCTCGTGGTCGCGTGGATTTTTTCCCGGGCCCTCCGATTTTTGTTGTTGTTGTTGTTGCCCTCCGCAATGAGAATCAACGTCACGCGTCTCGGAGCATCTGGCTGCGATAAATGCCCAAGCGACGGGAAGCCCACTTCGCTGAGTAGCTGTCAATTTTTGATGGCCAGGTCGCTTCTGAAAGAAGAAAAAAAGAACAACGTAGCTCAGTGGGGGGCCGGGGCCTCGCCTGGTAACGATACAAAAAACAATATACAGTTGAGCTTCAGTTTAACACCGCTGCCACCAGATGAGCTTCAGCGGCCCTCTGGAACACTTGCACAGAGATCCCGGTATTAGAAAGCCACTGGGAGCGATGCGCTTTTTAAATAATCCATATTGAATACTAATTTCTTTAGTATTGTTCCGTGGCAGATGTGACGGCGACCGAGCACAGCGCAAAGCCGTGAACCTCTCGCCTCGCCCCCCACCCTCCCCCCACCACAGGGGACTGTGGCCACTCCATGGAGATGCCCTACGTCCCGATGACCAAACAAGGGACAAGTCAGGCAGGTAAGGCGAGCAGGAGGCATTATTGAATGTCCCGAATGTCAGAACCAATAAACTAAACTCTCGACCGCGTGAACCCAGGCACATTCTGCACGCGGCTGTTCATGGTCCGCCTACTAGCATGGCGTGCGAGAGCACTTGGGGTTGATAGGAGTAGAGGGCCTGGTACAGTTGTGTATAACTCAATTGTCCCCGAAATCCCATTGAAATCTGCGTCAATTAGGGGAGATTTTTTCCACTTAGGGTTTGCTCAACTTTTCATTTTTTTTTATTTTACCGGGGTAAGGCCCCACTGAGCTATATAGATCTGCTTCAGAAGCGACCTGGCTATCACAAATGATAGCTCAACGAAGTGGCTCATCGTCACGTGGAAATGTGCAGCAACCAAACGCTTTAAACGGGTGATGATGATTCTAAACGAGGAGAAATCCACGCGACCACGGGGACACAGACACCGCAAACCCCAAATACACAGCAGGCGTCGGGGTCGGGATCGAACCCACGACCTCCTGTACACCAGGCGAGGTAGTTAACATCTGGATACGGAATGCAACGAATGTGAGAGCCAATATTAAGTAAGAGCAAGAGCCCAGTCGGAGAAGAGCCAATATTGAATGCACCGAATGGCGTAATGCACACGCAAGCCATGCGCTTGCCAGGGCCTCCTTGGTCTACCCACTGCTGGATGAGGGCCTCCCACCCGCGCCGTGCCGGTCGCGGCCGGTTACGTGGTCGTACTTCACCACGCCGGTCAGTGTGGGTTGGTGAAGGCGGGGGGGGAGGAGCGTAGAAGCCGGAGGTTTGGAGCAGTGGATTTTTGCTACGTTGACCTCTGCTGCCCACTGCTGTAGCCGCGCGGTAGCCGGTCGCAACCTGGCATGCACGATGGGCACCCATCGGAGGACTAGCCAGGATCCAGCCTGCTTAGCTTCCAAGAAGTGGAAAGACTTGGTCAGAGGCCGAGTGTGTATCGTAGATTTGTATACATTCATTCGGAGGTGTATATCATCGATACAACGTAGTGTTTATGATATATGAACATCGGCGTGTAATTCGGCTTATGGAGGTACACCAACAGACCGTGGAGCAATGCACGCTCATTTTCATGTTGTGTTTTTTTGGAACAGACGGGGAAACGGAGGAGCATTACGACTACGAGAACGTGAGCGAGACCTTGAGTAAGTTGCAGCCACTCCGACGCGCGGGGCTTTGCACTCCCACATTGCTTCCACAGACGTCACAAAATCACGTCCATCTTTAAAGCGTGGTTAGCTCGTCAATGGATGTGGTGCTTTGTATGCATGTTGCGGTGGTGTAGCGGTTAGCGCGCTGCGCTAAGTGTCCGGCGACTCGAGTTCGATTTTCCGCTCACCGCCACCACCAGCAACGATTATCTGAACCGGTCCTGTGCCTCCTCGAGGTCGATTCAGCCTCAAATGAGTACAGGGCGCGGTGTGTAAACATCGCCACTGGGGAGACAAAGGCGACCAGGCATGGTGCTGGTCACCCGCCCCCTCGTGTGCCGTAACAGCCTTCATAGGTGCTCGCTAACAGCACTTGCCCCTACAGTATGTTAAGGCTATACGGGGGAATCTTTGTCTTTGTATGTATGTTGACCTTTCACACCGTTCGTAGCCAACGGTGCTAATCAGAGGTTCAGGGGAAGGACAACAAACTAAACACAAAAAGCAGTTCTAAAGAAATGAGTTTTCAACCTTGATTTGAAACTGCATAGCTCCAGTGGCTTCCTAATGTAGTGGGTTCCACTGGAAACACACACACTAGAACTTGGAGGCAACACGTTTATGATAACACCCCAACAGGGTAACTGCATAACGTACACTTGGCTAACTAGACCACAACGGGGTAACTACATTACTGGGTCAGTCAGTGACACACTGCCTGACCCACGATGCCTAACGTGAAGACCGAGGACCGAGGATCCACGTAGCACCGACGGGTTCCATTCCAACAGACAGCCGCGATTGCTCTCGGGACCTCCCTTTCATGCTCCCGAGCGTGGCCTCGCTCCGCCCTCGGCCACGCCCCCTTCTAGATCCTACTAGAAGGGGGCGTGGCCTCGCTCCGCCTTCGGCCACACCCCCTTCTAGATCCTACTAGAAGGTTCTGGGCCATATATCACGTGTCCCTCTCGCCACCCTTTGGCCCCCCCTCGCTCCCCTCTCCTGGTCACGTGTCCCTCTCGGGTTCACCCAGACTGTCACGTCCTTACTTGCCCTCTCTCTGCCCGTCACCAGAACCATGCCCCCTGGGGCCCGCTTCCATGCCATACCTCTACTCGGGTGACAGAGAGAGGCTCAAGACGCACAGTTCCACTCTTGTGACAGGAGCTGGCACTAAACGCCATCCTGACTCCATTTTACGTCACTGCACTAATATCGGAAAGAAGAGCGTTCCAGACGGCCGCAGAAGCGCGTCTGAAAGTGCGTGATGGAGTGACCGTCTTTTCTCGAGTAAACCACTATCAGAGTAACGATAGTTAACGATGATGACGATGCTGATGAAGATGATGATGTACAGCCATTTATCCACGAGGGCATCGCCACGCTGCGTCCATACTTCACCACGTCGGTCAAATTAACAAAAAGATTCAACACACTCGTCAACAACACTCTGGCTTCAAATGAAAACACATAATCAGGCAACGTTTCGGGCAACGGCTCTTATTCAGAGCACGCAATCAGAGGAAGCGAGAGACATTTGATTAAAAATATATTTTTTTCTCTCTCTCTCCAGATGTTCAGGATGATGGGAATGCGCAGTCGTCATCACTCCACCAGCAAAACCCTCTGTACCTCTGCAACGACACTCTGTATGGAGACGTTGCATGAGACTCGCGTAATGAGATCAAGATTTTTTTGTTAAATACTGTACATACATAATCGCGGTTCTCTCGAGCAGAGGCCCAAATGCACAAAACTCCATGCAGGCGGCAACAAATGAAGCAGATATTATCGCAGTGGCTTCACATCGAAAGTCTTATTCGAACAGAAATTTCTGGTTTGCGATTCTTAATAAAAAAAAAAAATTGGAGGGGAGGTCACGTTGTTACGTGGCCAGATTTGGGTGCCGCGGTGGCTAGGAGATGTTAACTCCCTCGTCCTGGTATTCAGGAGGTCGTGGGTTCTATTCCTGACCCTTGACGCCTGCTGTATATTTGGAGTTTGCGTATCCCCCCCTGTGGTCACGATGATTTTCCTCTGGCTCTTCCGGTTTTTTTCCCGCCACGTTTAAAATGAACACGCGTTTAACAGTATTTGGCTGCTATACATTTACACACGATGAGCCACTTCGTTGAGCTATCCTAGCCAGGTCTGAAAACGAGTTCTGTAGCTCAGTGGGCTCCTTACCTGGTCAAATAAAAACACGTTTTTAATCTTGATTTAAAGCTTTCGTGACTGCAGTGATTCATATTCTTGGTTCTTTCGGTAAAGTCACGTTGAAGGGAAACAATAAAATAATAGAATATATACAAAACAATAAAATTCTCACGACGTTTCGACTGTAACACAAACAGTCATCATCAGGTGTGAAAACCAACGGCAAGAAACATTTGAAAGTGTTTCTTGCCGTTGGTTTTCACACATATATATTACATATTATTATTTTATTGTTTCCCTTCAACGTGACTTTACCGAAAGAACCAAGAATATAGTACATTTATAGTTTCGATCGCTGAGAACCCTGCGACAACCGACGGAGCAGAGTTCACACTAAATTGTCACACGGTGTGCACATGCTTCACGCGCCAACGATTGTTGATTGATCTCATCGCTACGTCGAACGGGAATCCTCACCGCCGAATTTGAGCAGCGAGATACCAAGTGGCACGTGAAGCGACCTCAGGGATCATATCAGGACAAGACGCTCTCAGTGACCGTGCCGCCTGAGCCGGCTTCTTAAATAGGTGTCATGACCTCACAGGGACAACCAAACGGATCTACACAGCACCAGATAATAACCGGTACATATTCACTTCTTCTGATGCTATTGTGTTTTAGCTGGGGCAAATGATTAACATCGCACGAAGTTACCGTTCAATTTTTAATAATATACTAACTCAGGTTTGTCCGTCCCGGTTTTCTCGGTGAATCCTGGCATTGACATCTCCTGGTAATATATACTGTAGTAAATCACAGGTACTGCAGTAAATCTCAAGATTTGTAGTAAATCACAGGTACTGTAGTAAATCACAGGTACTGTAGTAAATCTAAGGTACTGTAGTAAATCTAAGGTACTGTAGGAAAACTCACGTCTCAGGTATTGAATGAAAACTATGAAAATTCCGAGAGGAAACTGAAATTAAATACGTAGGGATCGTGTTAAATACACAGCTGGGTAATATTCGGCTAACTCAATTGACATTGCACTACTGGCTTAAAACGCCAGAAAGGGCCAACAAAATGTGAGCTTCAATAGAATTCGTAAGCCGTAATTTAATTATGTTAATGCAGGACCGTTACATCGATGAAATATCTCTTTTTAAGTGTAGGCTCGCGTAAACCTTCTCGTGAAAGGTATTTGTTTTACTGAAGCTTGCGTGAATCATGTGGACGTGTACCTGGTGGTGTCTGAATCACCCCACCAGCTATCTACGAATGTCTTTTGATATCGTCGCGATCAATGTTCTTTTTTTCCCGGTCCTGTTCGTAGTTTCATTCGCAACATTACCCCGTTATTTTGGTTGTTGTTGTGTTCAGTGTTTGTTGTTGTGGTTGTGTTTAGTGTTTGTTGTTGTTGTGTTCAGTGTTTGTTGTTGTGTTCAGTGTTTGTTGTTGTTGTCGTCTTCAGTGTTTGTTGTTGTTGTGTTCAGTGTTTGTTGTGGTTGTGTTCAGTGTTTGTTGTTGTTGTGTTCAGTGTTTGTTGTTGTTGTGTTCAGTGTTTGTTGTTGTTGTGTTCAGTGTTTGTTGTTGTGTTCAGTGTTTGTTGTTGTTGTGTTCAGTGTTTGTTGTTGTTGTTGTGTTCAGTGTTTGTTGTTGTTGTGTTCAGTGTTTGTTGTGGTTGTTGTGTTCAGTGTTTGTTGTGGTTGTTGTGTTCAGTGTTTGTTGTTGTTGTTGTGTTCAGTGTTTGTTGTTGTTGTTGTGTTCAGTGTTTGTTGATGTCGTGTTCAGTGTTTGTTGTTATTGTCGTGTTCAGTGTTTGTTGTTGTTGTGTTCAGTGTTTGTTGTTGTTGTGTTCAGTGTTTGTTGTTGTGTTCAGTGTTTGTTTTTGGTTTTCTTGAAAGTCGTTACTGATGGATCGATGCATCGTCACAATGCTAGAGCACGCGGAGTGACACGTGCCACCACGCTGCAGCTCGTTGAGATGACTTTCAATCCCAAATGCTTTGGGCCAGTGAACGTCTCGCATCTCAAACAACGTATGCCTCATAATTATTCTTACATTATTGTGATTATGCCTAAATGCAAACTTAAAACACCAACATCTTTGGGAGTGTATACTATATCGGTACACAATGGCCGGTCACAATGCTTTAAAAACGATACTGTATTTTTATATATATGATGAAGTGTTAGGCTTAGTTGTGCGCTCCGCCGTTTACGTTACTAATGTTTTTTTTCTTATGGCGGAGGCAACTATTGAAGTACATCGTGAAAGTACAGCGTGTCCACGGAGACACCATCCATGATTCATGAATTATAATCAGACGCAAGGTCGAATCGCGTGGTTGAGCTGTTGGCAAACCACCTGGGCGACTCTCTCAATTCTCCATGGGAAGCGCATCGCCAACTCATTTGGAATGTTTACGCGGCTTAAGAGACCGCAAACTCATACGATACACCCATAATGGAGGTGGTTTTGGATTAGATCGCGTTAATATAAAAAAAAATTGTGTCGTTAAACCCGCCACCGCCCGACACAGCCAACTAGTAAGGGTTGTCGCGTCAACAGAACGTGGCCAATTCGATCAAATGTGCATGCCACCCAATTGCGTGCGTGTGGCATTATTTTTGTCGTCCCAAGTCGAGGCTTATTATTGTTGACCTTTAATAACGGGTGACAGCTTCACGAACCCTCTGGGATATCAATTGATGTGCATTTGAATGCTTGTTCAACGCTTGGTGTGTGTGTGTGTGCGTGTGTATATATGAGAGGGGTGGGGCTGTGTGCATCGAATAATACCGATCCGTAAAAAGACACTCACGACCAACGCATCGAACCGCACCAAGGAGTAATGTTTTACAACCATTCACAATCGCTATGGGGTTTACATCACCCCCCTGCAAGTCGCGCGAGGTGCCACAACTTTTCACCGCGAGGTGTACGAAAAGTGGACTCGGCTTTTGCGCCTTTTGCAACAACAACAAAAACAACCCTTCAGTGGTTCCTGAAGAGGCGCATTCTGCTCCCCACCTTTGTCCGAGGCCACAATCAAAATAAATTTGAACAAAATTTGACCGTGTGACAGCAGCAGCAGTCAAGACGGCTAACTAAACTGATTTCATCCTTCTCTGGACTCATCGGTAGTCACCAATGCTCACTGATGCAAAGTCTGCCTCTGAGAACCACACACATATATATAGTCCCTACGTACACGATTGCCATAACACATTCCTGCGGAGGGAGCTGGTAGGAACGTTGGGTTGCTCGGTCAATGGCCAGGGTCAACGGCGGCACCACGTGGTGTATTCCGCAAATATGCCCGACTGTGAGGGCGGGCACAAGCCGGCGTGAGTAGGTGAAACGTTGAGTTTTATAAGGGCACCACGGGGTGACCAGCCCCTCCCCACCCAGCCCCCACCCAGCCCCACCCACCCCACCCAGCCCCTCCCCACCCAGCCCCTCCCCTCCCATTTTTGGATGCACGACGGACATATACAATAATCCCCTGTGGGCTGGTGTAACCAGGAGGTTCCTACCAGTATAATGCACAAATCATGTCGATTGTACATTGTTCCTGATGGGGGTTTCTCTTGGTTGCCTCTCGTTTTCCGGTCTACATCAGTTCTTGTTATAATGGTTATTATCACGTTTAACAGAATCGATTCACTGCAAAGATAAAACTAAATATTTAGTTGGATTGAGTCACAGCCGACAACTGTGATAATATAATTCGTCAAACTCTTGATAAAGTAGGGCGAACCGTTCCACTTCTAGACTCACACACACATAAATACTGTAATTCCATACTCTACACTCCGGTTCAATGAAGAATGTACCCAAGCACTGCTGCTTTGCAATCCTTTCGCACATCCATTCAAAAACAGGAATATATTTTTTTTTAATGCAGTTCATCTTTAACCGAAGCGCACAACACACCGCGTGAAAAGTCAGTTCAGTAGACACTTGCTGTTAAAGTGTATACTGAACCAATTAAAAAGCTTTCTGTGATCGTGACCATCGGGGTGAATTCTTCCGTCACCACCAAGGCTTTGTGCCGCCTATAACGTCAGCCTGATGCGCCGTGTTGCTACCCGAAAGGGAAAAAACTTGATTCTGCAGCGTCCTTGGCTTTTAAACTTGATCGGCACTCGTGCAAACTTGCGTTGTTGAGTGTCGGAAGGAATAACCTCGCCGCTTTTATATTTTTTAACCTCCTCCGTAACAAAGTAAACGAAATGTGAACACACTTCCTTTTGTAAATCCTGCATTTTTTTAAGTACTCGCATATTAATACCGTACGTGAAGATGGTTTAACTGGCTTTGATGGAATTGCTTTATTGTACAATACTTTTTTTAAACATTTTTTTTTTGGGGGGGGGGGGAGGCTGAAATACCTTTTTGTTACATATTAGCAACGTGTCATACTGTTGTTTTTTTTAAACATACAAAAAATGTCCCTGCATTGTCCGTTTATTATATCACGAGTGCGTGCGAAGTGTTTCAATGCACACCAATAAAAGCACACAAGAGGGGCTGCTGCCCCACGAGAGAGTGATTGTAACGTGAAACCTTTATAGCGCGTACGCCACGCGATCACGTGCAACAGCAACAACATTCATCGAAGCCGCGGACAATCTCGGCGGGTCGCAACTTCAAAAGCGAAAAGCAAAGCAGGAAAAACAAACAACACCATGAGCACGTGTCGGATACATTCATTCACCGCAATTACCGTCACGAATCATCCGCAAGGAACTGTGCCGGCCATCGGGATTTTTTTGGGGGAGAACATTTGAAAAACTTTGAAGCAAACGCTGTCAATTACCGAACATCGATTGGTTACGTGTGTGTGAGTGCGCGCGTGCGCGTTGTTGCGCATTACGCGCCAGACGTTTGCGGTGCCGACGACAGACGATTTGGCTCCGTGCCATTCAACGCAGCGGGGTCGGCCGCGCCTTGAGAAGGCAGCAGGGGGGGTGGGGGGGAAACTGCGTCCCCAAGGGGCGCGCTGACGAAGGCCGCGAGGTCGCGCGCGCCGGTGTTTAGGAAACGCCGTGGAAGACCTCGACCGCTGCGACAGCAGCTAGCTCCAGAAGATTCCCAAACCTGTCAAACCCTTTCATCAGTGTCCTACCTTATTGCAGACCAATTCAGACCTTATTGGTTCACCCCGTGCATCCTTATAAGAAGCTCAAGGTTCATCCGGCAAGGTCCCATCACGAGAGAGAGAGAGAAAAAAAATGTTACTCAATTTCCCTGCACAAGAACACGGGTAAACCGTACGAGTTGACAGGTATGGAATCGATACAAAAATATCAATCCACGCGCAAATGTGGTGGAATACCATGTGGCGCCAATTGAATCGGATAAGTGCCAGGAAAATCTGGCACACAAAAAAAAACCCCAATTTTACGTAAACGTTCTATTTACAAATTGTCGATAACAAGTTTTCAGCTGTGTAATCACGTTAAAAAATTGGTAATGTTTTGCCATTTCCCCACCGAACACATCGATCAGGCTGTAGGAGGGCATTGACGTTCACGCTATCCGCGCTGAAGATCGTAGAGAGCAAGCGGCGTTGCAATAGATGGAGAGAAACAATGTCTAACAAATAAGTTGTAGGGTAACACTTTTTCATTCATGTAAACACGACCGAATGGAAGGGGGCTGCCACAAAGCAGTTCACAACTTCAACACACCGGTCCAAAGGCGCCCGACCACGTCTACATTTGCAACGTCTTAAAGGCGGAACAAATCTCTTGCAATCTTCCGCACTGGACATTCCAATGCTGATGTCCTCGCAACCATTTAAACACACTCTTTGGCTAAATTTCGATCTAAAGCTTTCGTGACTGCAAGGAATCATCTTCTTTGGTTCTTTCGGTAAAGTCTCGTAGTCAGAAATCAAATCAAACAAATCACGACGTCTCGATCGCAACACAATGACTACCCACGTGACTTTACTGAAAGAACCAAAGAGCATGGATTCCTGCGGTCACGAAAGCTTCAAATCAACGATCGAACCATTTAACAGCAGCCCGGCTGACGTTAGCTTTTTTCAAATCGAGGTGAAACGTCAACTTATTACACGGCGATCGACGTATAGATACTCCCCCACTGATTCCTAACGACCCCGGGCTGGTCACAAGGCACCGTTGATGGCCTCAGCGTAAGAAGCATCATCATCGGATGATGTCGGCAACATCACACCGGCTACTACGGCTGGACAAAGTGCATCGGGGGACGAGTTCACAAACGATTTCGTAAGTGCATCGAATTTTTGTGAGAGATGTGGAGGCTTTGAAATGAAATGTACCGGTAGTTTTCCCCTGTAACTGATACCTGTCTCGCCTGGTATGCAGGAGGTCGTGGCTTAGCTCCAGAACCTGACGCTACCTGCATATTTGGGGTTTGCGTGCCTCTCGCACCGTGGGTGCGTGGATATTTCTCCGGGTCCTCTGATTCTTCCACTCCACGTTTAGAAACATGCGTTGAGAGTATTTGGCTGCTGTACATTTCATCACACGATGATGAGCCGCTTCGTTGAGCTATCATTTGTGACCAGGTCGCTTCTGAAAAAGAGCTAAGTATAGCTCAGTAGCGCCTTACCTGGTAAGATACAAAAAGTTTCGTTTAACTTTTTCGTGGGGTATCTATAAATGGACCGCCGCTTTGCTGTGCCTTGAACACGTCCGGTCGTGTCACAAATGGCGCGCACTTTCAACCGAACCGATCCCATTCAACATTTGTGAACAAAGTGTTGATAACGTAACACCTTTGAGGAACGAACGAACGAACGAGCGACGGCGCCTTTGGAAAAACCCCAACTGGCAACTTTGCCCGTGCAACTAAAAAATATTCTCGCCTTTCACGAGAACAAACCGAAGCAATCGAGGGGCGTTTGAAAGCTGAAGCAAGTGCAAACTTGGGAAACGGCTTCGCAGCTTGGGAGTCGAAGTGGCTCTCGCTTCAAAAACGCCTCCGCGTCCGGCAACACTTTCGGAGCGCCACTCGGCGCACACTCGCATCTCACTCAAACTGGCTTAAAAAAAAATCTCTACCGCAGTGCCGAAACCTCTCGCGCAAGACACACGCGCGCACGAACAAAAACAAAAAACCACGCAAGCGGCAAATAATGGGGGGCCTACATTCAAAATGGCATTGAGAAGCGAAGACTTCATTGAACAAGCGACCCACGCGACCTGTTCACACTTGGTTTAAAGAGCTGTGTTGGACCTAAAAGAAAAAGATCACAAAAAATAGTGCGTATTGTTGGAACCAACACCCGTGCACAAAACGGGAAACCGTCGCACAGCTCACTTGATCTGCCCCAACAACCAGGGCTGCCCGCAGGCTCCCGGAGGCCTGGGGCTGACGGCCCCGGGCAGAATGCCACGCGGGGAGCTCCGTTATTCAAAAGCCCAGGCCCCTGATGGAGGGCCCTCTCTTGTGAGGCCCAGGGAACGTTGCCCCGTGTGCCCACTCAACCCTCTCTCCGCCCCGCTCTCACTGCGCGGTTCTGATAACAGCAGCCATCCTGAACACGAGATGGTGAATCGCAAGACCCGTGTTGCGGTAACAAATCAAAGGTTTCTTTCTTGTTCCTTTACAAAAGGCAAATCCAGTCTAACTTCGACTTACCCATCTATTCATTCATTTCCCCAACAGCATTTCAAATGACCTATTTTATCTATCTTCCTGTGTGCAATGTGTGTGTGTGTGAACGTCGCAGCGCTGGGCAGGTTTAAACATGGCGTGCTCACAACCATAAACTGCAATTCTTTGAAATAAATCACACACACACCGAAACTGACGAACAGCATGCACACGCGCTGGGCTCCCAGTGTTCAGACACAGTATCATCAGCGCAGTGTCAAGCCACGTGCGTCTCATGCTATGGAGTGCTTGTAGCAGCGACGGTGCCAGACAACACTTGACAGGAGCAGATCTTGCTCGCTTAACCGACTATCCCATTGTCGATGGCTGCAAGCGCGATAACGTTTAAAAGACTCGAGCGTGAATTCAGACACACTCAGTTTTGGAGTGTAATGCACCGGCAATGAAGGAGACGTCATCCGCACAAAGATATCTTCCTCTTCGCTTTGATGGCACTGCAAAGGACACTGCTGTTAATAAGTGCTCAATGGTCGCGGAAGTGGTCGTACAGCGGTTATACCACACTGCACTATGCACCTGGCAACCCGAGTTAAATTGTCGGTCATGACTAACATCGGTGATATTTGAACCGGTCCTGGTCCACCCCCTCTGCCCCCCTCCTTTCACCAGGATGGAGATGTCTGGTCATATAAACCTCATGAGTAACATGGTGTGGGGGAGGCCTTCATCCAGCAGTGCATTGACAAGGGGCTGTAGGGAACAATGGTCGGAAAGTTACAGAGGGAGGCGATGGTGTGGGCCCAACATCTCGTCACTAATTGCTGTCTCTGCATCGGCAGCTAACTTGATGGTTTATCCACAGGTGGCTTAGGGGAGGTCATCACGTGGTAACGTGAACAGATCAGCGCAACATGCCGACAACTGTGTGTGTGTATATACCAACACAACGTGGCATTTTCACAAACATCCCTTATTGTACCGGAGTACAGGTTTTAGCTTTCATACAAACATTAATAACGGCAAGGGGGCAAGTGGAGGGTGAAAGGGAATGACCGGTTACTGATAATGATCATCTGCGCTGACAGGGTGAATTGGTTAATGGACATCATTGCAGTAGTTACACTTTTAAAGGCCCAAAATAATTCCAGGCGCGTAGAAGCAAAGGAGCAACGGTGAACTACACGTCCTTTTGTAAAAAAAAAGCACTTAACGCGTTACTACTTTAGAAAAAAATGCGCGAGCAAATCTGGCCACACTACCAACCCCGATAAACCTATCTCGGTGTACATTCATTGATAATGTACTGCGTTACTGTACTATCCGGTATGTTCGTACATACACCATGTATTCAAACGCAAAATCAACATTAAAACAAAACATTTCAAACTTGGTTATTAACAAATGACTACAAGGACTCGGATAACTACACCGTGTTAGATGGAGAGGTAAATGAGCGATACAATAAGCCGGTGACGTAAGAGGCTACACACATAGAATAATTAACAAAGAAATTGCGATGAAGTTGGGACAGATAAATCAAATACAGGTGTCTCGCTCAACGAGCTGTGCGAAAAATTTGAATTGAGACCCATTTGTTCGCAAAACGAGCGAACGTTCGAGTAGCGAATTGATCAAAAGCGCACCGCGTCCAGCAGCTGTTTGTTTACCGACTGTGCTGCACCACGTGATTCGCCATGTGGGAGGCTTCGTAATGGCATTTAAATGGATGGCTGGGCGGGGGGGGGGGCTACACTACGGACAGGCACCCTGCACGCGCTGTGGTTCTTCATGGGTGGGTGGTGGTCGGTGTCACATTTGATGTTTTATTACTTTCTTTAAAAATGATCATTCGTATTTCTCACGTTAAGAAAGTTGTTCAGGAGTGGCATGTTCTGGGGGATGAAACGTAAGTCGGCTTTTTAACATGGGAGCCAATGGGGAAACGGTGATCGTTTCAACGAGTTTTCGCTGAACTGCCAGTTTTCGCGGAACCTATCACTATCGTTAAGCGAGACACGTTTGTAAAGTGCTTCACGGGCAGCACGTGACAAAAGAGCAAATGCAGGAGGCACTACTCAAGCAGTGGATAGGAACTAAAATATAAAAGGTGATGATAAAGTATTGTCATTTTTTCAACAAAGATGACCATGCCACAAACACACGCAATGTTACACTTTTTTTTGTTTAACTGCGATTCCATAGATATGCTGTGTCAGTTGTAGGCGTGTAACAATTGGTAAAGTTAAATCATATCTAAATGAAAAGCTAAAAAACTCATTCCTTGAGAACTGCTTTTTGTGTTCAGTTTGTTGTCCTTCCTGCGCGCCTCCGATTAGCACGACTGGGTGGGTACGTACGGTGCGAAAGAAGTTCAAGAAACGGTACATTACGTCCATGCTACGCACACTGAAATCTTGCGTGGAAGAGCCGGTTACATCGTATTTACGCAAATAATGAAGAACAAAAAAAGTTACCTTCGGGCTAATGGCATGGACGAGACCTAACGCACCTGATCGAGAACACGGGGGGGGGGGGGGGGGGGGGGGGAGAGACAGCGCAGCACAAACGTACAAGCGAAATAAAAGCGGAAGAATCCTGAATCGAATCGTGAAACCCTTGAATCGTGACAACCTATGGAATCGCCAACCCCACGGCGCGCTGTTCCCGCCGGGTGCCCGGGCCCTCAGTGGAAGACCGTCTGGCGCCACCGATTGTCGTCCAGGAAAGGCCAGAGACACTCGTGGATTCCCTGGCGAAACGGCGTGCGCTGCCCGACGCCCAGGCTCTCGAGCAGCGACGTGTCGAGGTGAGCGTCGTGCGGACGGGGCACCCCGGACGGAGGCTCCTCCACCTGCGGGTTCGACGGCACGGAGGGCCCACAGGGGCGTTGGCGCGCGCTCTCGCGGCTGCCAGGTGGAGTGCGCGGGGAAATATCCGCGCCCGTATCACAGGGTGCATCGCGGTCGCCCTACCCCCGGCCCCGTGCTCAGCTTCTATCAGAACCTCAACGATCACTTTCAATCACGTCGAGTTAAGTTTTCGTGTTTAGCTGCTTCCGCAAGCAGATGCTTATTATATATTCGGTCGGATTTTATACACATGTGCGTGTCGTTATTCGAAGGGCAAATAAAGGTTCGGATTTCATCTCAGTCGACCCATGGCACCTGCGTCTGTCCCGCGACCTCCTGCCAGCGGGCATTCCGACACTTCGCATGGACTTAAAGTGCACGTAGCCTGGCACAAGCGCCGTGGTGACGTCACCGGCACTTAAGTGGCGAATGGCGTCTGTTGTTGTTTGTTTAACAGAAGCTCCTTACCTCGAGCTCCCACATTCGGAAGTTAACATGTGCGAGCAGATGTTGTTTCTACAAAATCGCAACGTAACAATTCCCATTTTAGGCTATGCACCAATAAAGGCGGAGAATGTGATGGGTGCCCAAAGGTGGCGTGCCCGCACTAATGCACAAGTATGTGAATAACACGACCACTAATAATCATCATAATTAACAACCAGTGTATTTAAGAACTATTGGCCACTGCAAGTTGCCGAGGTTACACCAGATCAAGTTGAGGATACTCACAATTCAGTGTTAAATGCCAACCTAAAGCAACGTATCAAAGGATCCCAAGCGTAATGGGAGACACATCCCAAGCTGTCCTACCCGGCCGCCCTTGTTATTCTCCTCGCCGTGCGGCTTCAGTGCCGGTGATATTTTCTCCATACTCTCCGTTTCGACCACGTTCTTACTTGCCAGGAGACACATCACCCTATAGGTCACTTAGGCGGTGCGAAGAACACGATGAGAATGGATTTAATTTCCCCCCCCCTTCCCTCCAACACACATGCTCAAAGTCACGCTTCTCACCGGTCTCAGGTGACTGCTCGGCAGATTGAAGGCATCGGCCATCGCGCACGCCATCTCGTACTTAGTCATCTTTTCATTCCCCGACCAGTGGTAAATGCCCCTGATGGCGGCGGGGTCCTGTAAGCAATGGGCACATAAAGCAGGAGGATCGGTTAGCTAAAGCGGTGAGGTGGCTGGCGTCAATCTATAAGAGAAATCGTCAATGGCAAAACAGGCCACCGTACACCTGCCGTTAAAATCATTTATACAATCGCACACAGACAAGTGGAGTCAAGGAGCTTAGCGTTAAAGTCTAATTATATATATAAAAAAAAAATTAAGCTTCAAACTCGTGTTCGGACAGCCCGGGAACTCACAACCCAAGTACGTATCGACAAGATAAGAGCTGATTTAAAGCTTTCGTGACTGCAGTAATTCATATTCTTAGTTTTTTCGGTAAAGTCACGTTGAAGAGAAACAACAAAATAACAAAATATATATAAAAACAATAAAAAATTCTCACGACGTTTCGACCATAACTCAAACGGTCATCATCACCTGATGATGACCGTTTCTCTTCAACGTGACTTTACCGAAAAAACTAAGAATATAATAAGATAAGAGCTCTGTGGATTTCTTGATGCACTTTCCCGTAAGGTCAGAACAGTGGGAGAGTCCGGCACCACTGCTGCCACCCCCCCACCCTCCGCCATCCCCTGGCCGCCCTCCGCCACCCCTCCCCTCGTTCACCCTACACCCCCGCCCCCCCCCCGCCCCCCCCCCCCCCCACCGAACCGATGCCGGCAGCACCTGCAGGTGCAGCTCGGTGAGCTGACGGCACACGAGAGCGACGTCGCGCGTGTGCGTCGGGTAGCGCTGCTGCCAGTGCTCCACGTCAGCCGACTTGTTGGAGCGCTGCACGCGGTCGAACATCACGGACACGGCGCTCTCCGCCAGGGTCTCGACGGCGCCATACAGCACCGGCACGCGTAGCACCGCCGCCGCTGCCGTGTGCAAGCACGCACGCACGCACGCACGTCAATTCAAGTCACCGTTGCAATTCTGGGTCCCTTACCGATCCAACAATTGTTCGGCTCGATTGTACCGTCCGTTTGCATTGTGTCGTCCGTTTTTGTTGTTCGTGCTCGCACGATCTCGTGTACCGTCTCCGTTGTTTCGTCCTCCTTGTTTATACTTTCTTTCATTCCGTACACCCTCAGTTACGTCCGTTTCATCCCTAGAATCTGTGCAAATTTGTACTGCGTGTGCTGTTGGTCGTAACGTCACCTTTGAGACGTCTTGCAAGCACGTTCTCGTTGGTTCTACACGTCTCGTTTGTTAGCGGTGCAACGTTCTTTAAGGACCCTGTCGTCGTTCTCTGCAATGTTGACGTTCTTGTCTTTTGTTTATTGTCGTTGTTTTTGCTCACGCGGCACCACGGATTAAACTCGTACAACGGTCGGGCAAACGGCTAAACGGAACCATCCGTGTAACAAATCAAATACATTTTGATTTAAAGCTTTCGTGACTGCAGTAATTCATATTCTTAGCTCTTTCGGTAAAGTCACGTTGAAGGGAAATGATAAAATAATAAAAAAATGTTGTTGCAGTCGAAACGTCGTGAGAATTTTATTGTTTTACATTTTTATTATTTTATTGTTTCCCTTCTACGTGGTGACTTTACCGAAGAAACCAAGAATATCAAGCTCTACTGTCCATCTCATTAATTCTGTGCATTTTTTTTTTAAATAAACATTTACCTCAAGGAACTTTGCATCGCGTACACAAAAGCCCTAATGATTGCTGCACGCAACATTCCATGCGAATTATAAAAGATGCAATCGCTAAGCTATTTAAAGATTTTAATCCTTTCCCCACATTTTTTTTTCCTCTATAAAGTTATCGGTCATCAAGTCACGGGGCGCAGAACCCACTGGGGATCTCTCGCACAGCGGTGGGACCTCGACACTTAAAAAAAAAATCGACCCCTGGAAGTGGCTATCACAGAGCCGCCACCACCGAGATCCCTTCCGATCGCCTCTTTTACGTTTGTTCAATCGCCGCTGAATCTCCGAACAACTAAGAGGGTGGTGGTGGGCTGCTGCGTGGAGCCACGGGGAAGGGGAGGGATACGTGTGGAGGCGGGAGGGCGTGGTAGAGTTCATGCGTGCGGGGGGGGGGGGGCAAACGCACCGGGGTGTTCACGCAGCGTCGCCTGCTCGCCCTCCAGCTTGCTGCGCCCGTACGCGCTGAGCGGCCGCGGCTCGGCGCTCTCGCTGTAGGGGGGACTGCTGCCGTCGAACACGTAGTCGGTGCTGATGTAGACCAGGAAGCCGCCCACCTGGGCTGCACGTTAACAAGATGGAGGGTGCGGGAGGGGGTGGAGACGTTAGTGTTATCGGTGACACGACGGAGCGCTACGGAGGTGGCTGACACGGTGGCTAGGGGGATGTTAACTACCTCGCCTGGTGCGCAGGAGGTCGTGGGTTCGATCCCGACCCTGAAGCCTGCTGTGTATTTTGGAGTTTGTGTGTCTCTCTCTCATCATCATCACGGTGGCTAGATGTTAACTACCTCGCCTGGTATGCAGGAGGTCGTGGGTTCGATCCCGACCCTGACGCCTGCTGTGTATTTGGAGTTTACGGTGTCTCTCTCTCTCCCCGCGGTCGCCTGGATTTTTCTCCGGGTCCTCCGGTTTTTCCCTCCACATTTAGAATCAACGTGCGTTTAAAGCGTTCGGTTGCTATACATTTCCACGTGGTGAAACGCCACTTCGTTGAGCTACCATTTGTGACGAGGTCGCTTCTCAGCGGGGCCTTACCTGGTAAAATAAAATTTAGTTTTAGCTTATAGTGTGGGTGGGTGGATGGGGTAGGGGGTGCGGTCAGAGGAGCCTCGTGGGTGAACGTCACACCAGTCTCCCGCGCGAGCGTGGCGGACGCGACCACGTTGAGGAGGTGCGCGGAATGCGGCTCGTTCTCCACCACGTCCGGCCTGCGCTCCGCCGCGCAGTGCACGACCACGTGCGGCTGCCGTGCACACACAAGAGCAGGCGTGTACGTATCATCAATATCATCATCATCATCATCACCCTCGGCCATGATCCATCCACTACTGGATGAATGCGAATCACCATCCCTCACCATCTAGTGATGCAACGATGCACCTTGCTCCTGCGCGTGAGCTGACCTCGTCGCTTCATCGCCGCGGTGGACGTCCTCTCGGGCGTGTTTCCCTCCTTTAGCTGCCACTCCATCGTCAGTCTCGACCATCGGTCATCGTCCCTTCTAATGCCCCACCCTGGTCCCCTTCATTTGTATTAACGGTCAATGTGATGTCTCCTGCTTGCCGTGTTCCCACCACCCTGCCAGCTTGCAGCCGAGCATGCGGAGTGTCTCACAGCACCAAATAGAATCCGCACGATCCGCTTTAAGCCAGCGTTTAAAGTGCTGGCTTAGAGGTGTGCACCTCCAAGCCTGGTTGACTGATGCTCCTACAGTGAGGGAAAAATAGCATTTGATCCCCTGCTGATTTTGTACATTTGCCCACTGACAAAGAAATGATCAATCTATAATTTAATGGTAGGTTTATTTGAACAGTGAGAGACAGAATAACAACAAAAAGATCAAGAAAAACGCATGTCCAAAATGTTATAAATTGATTTGCATTTTAATGAGGGAAATAAGTATTTGACCCCCTCTCAATCAGAAAGATTTCTGGCTCCCAGGTGTCTTCTATACAGGTAACGAGCTGAGATTAGGAGCACACTCTTAAAGGGAGTGCTCCTAATCTCAGCTTGTTACCTGTATAAAAGACACCTGTCCACAGAAGCAATCAATCAATCAGATTCCAAACTCTCCACCATGGCCAAGACCAAAGGAATCTCTAAGGATGTCAGGCACAAGATTGTAGACCTACACAAGGCTGGAATGGGCTACGAGACCATTGCCAAGCAGCTTGGTGAGAAGGTGACAACAGTTGGTGCGATTATTCGCAAATGGAAGAAACACAAAAGAACTGTCAATCTCCCTCGGCCTGGGGCTCCATGCAAGATCTCACCTCGTGGAGTTGCAATGATCATGAGAACGGTGAGGAATCAGCCCAGAACTACACGGGAGGATCTTGTCAATGATCTCAAGGCAGCTGGGACCATAGTCACCAAGAAAACAATTGGTAACACATTACGCCGTGAAGGACTGAAATCCTGCAGCGCCCGCAAGGTACCCCTGCTCAAGAAAGCACATATAAATGCCCGTCTGAAGTTTGCCAATGAACATCTGAATGATTCAGAGAACAACTGGGTGATAGTGTTGTGGTCAGATGAGACCAAAATGGAGCTCTTTGGCATCAACTCAACTCGCCGTGTTTGGAGGAGGAGGAATGCTGCCTATGACCCCAAGAACACCATCCCCACCGTCAAACATGGAGGTGGAAACATTATGCTTTGGGGGTGTTTTTCTGCTAAGGGGACAGGACAACTTCACCGCATCAAAGGGACGATGGACGGGGCCATGTACCGTCAAATCTTGGGTGAGAACCTCCTTCACTCAGCCAGGGCATTGAAAATGGGTCGTGGATGGGTATTTCAGCATGACAATGACCCAAAAGATACGACCAAGGCAACAAAGGAGTGGCTCAAGAAGAAGCACATGAAGGTCCTGGAGTGGCCTAGCCAGTCTCCAGACCTTAATCCCATAGAAAATCTGTGGAGGGAGCTGAAGGTTCGAGTTGCCAAACGTCAGCCTCGAAACCTTAATGACTTGGAGAAGATCTGCAAAGAGGAGTGGGACAAAATCCCTCCTGAGATGTGTGCAAACCTGGTGGCCAACTACAAGAAACGTCTGACCTCTGTGATTGCCAACAAGGGTTTTGCCACCAAGTACTAAGTCATGTTTTGCAGAGGGGGTCAAGTAACAAGCTGAGATTAGGAGCACTCCCTTTAAGAGTGTGCTCCTAATCTCAGCTCGTTACCTGTATAAAAGACACCTGGGAGCCAGAAATCTTTCTGATCGAGAGGGGGTCAAATACTTATTTCCCTCATTAAAATGCAAATCAATTTATAACATTTTTGACATGCGTTTTTCTGGATTTTTGTTTGTTTTTATTCTGTCTCTCACTGTTCAAATAAACCTACCATTAAAATTATAGGCTGGTCATTTCTTTGTCAGTGGGCAAACGTAGAAAATCAGCAGGGGATCAAATACTTTTTTCCCTCACTGTATGCACACTGATTAAATCAAATAAATTCTTCCTGTCGTTAAGTTCCTTCTTTATAATGGCACAAGCTCATTCTAGCTCATTCTGCCAAAATGTTTACTCTCATTGATTCTGTGTCAATCCACCATATTGTAGGAAAAAAAATCCCTTTTTCCTTACATTCCTCGACTTTGTAAATCCATCCAATCACCTATTTTCCCAAATTCCTGTGACCTCGCTCAATTCAAGCAACACGGTACAGTACTTTGCGTATCTGCTTACCTACAACCGAGGGGGTAAGGTGTGGTGGTGGCGCAGTGGACAGTGGACTACGACGTGAACCCGACAACCCAACGTCCATCCTTGGCCAGGACCAACATCAACATGGCGAGCGAAAGCTGAACATGTCCACTGGGCTAGGCCCTTCACAACAACCCACACTCTGCCCAGCATGGTAACGTGCGGACGAAACAAATCCCATGACCAACACAGTATAGGGAGGCCTTCCATCCATTGCAGGCAAAACAAACGGCTGAATATTATTATGATATATAGCTGTTTGAGATGTTAACTACCTCGCCAAATATACAGGAGGTCGTGGGTTCGATCCCGACCGTGACACCTGCTGTTTATTTGGTGTTAGCGTGTCTGTCTCTGTAGTTGTGTAGATTTTTCTCCCAATCCTCCGGTTTTTGAATCGGCATGCATAGAAAATATTTTGCCGCGATATATTTCCACACGATGAGCCACTTCATTGAGCTATCGTTTGTGATTGCCAGGTCGTTTATAAAAAAATAACTATATAGCTCAGTGGGCCTTTCCGAGTACAATATAAAATAGTAGTATCGTATTAATAACTATTATTATTGAACTGTCATTACTATCATATCAATCGTTTGCTAGCCGCTTTACAAATTTAACACGTAGGTTTTCGAGACCAATATTATTCATAATAAGAGTTCATTGTAATTATCAGCTAAAAGTCGTACAAACATTGTAAATGTTGTGGGTTAACTCTCCAAGACAATGGTGTGCTGAAGTAGTAACTAATTGCCATATTTTGTTTACGTGACAAACCTTACTAATCGGCTGTATCGGGTGGTGCTGGGTTAGCGACACATTAATATATTTACGCCATCTAACCAAAAATAACTTTCATTATGAATAGCCGCATTGCATCATGGCCCTTTTTGGACTCGGTGTTATCAGCAACCGTGCGCCGACGGACCTTGAAGTCCTGGACGAGGTTGTGCACCGCCGCATCGTCGCACAGGTCCAGCGGGAGGTGGTGCGGGCGGGCCCGGCGTAGCCCGGTGCCCAACGGCTGCCAGCCGTTGTTGAGGAACTCCTGGTGGACGGCGCGGCCCAGCAGCCCCGTGGCGCCCGTCACCAGCACGCGCCGCTCACGCACGCTCTCCTCCCCCTACCGGGACGGGCGCACGCACGCACGCACGCGCGTCGTTGCGGACGTCAGCCCCAACCGCGTGTGGCTCACGCGCCCGGTGTCCCCTTGCCCATCTCGTGTCGGTTCTCAGAAGCTAAGCGGGCCAGAGCCCCGCCTTGTCCTCAGATCAGTGCCCTATCAGGAATTGTCAGGTGTGCGGCTGCGTGGCATGAAGGACGCCACTGGGCAGTTGGAGGCAGTCACTTGCTCGCCGTTTTATCTATTCTGCACGCCTATAATTGTTTCCGCGTTGTGTGCAGTTGCGACTTGCTGACCCGCCGACGCTGGACATCTGTAAAGAAGAGCTTCGTGGCTTATCAGATTCCTCTAGTCTAAATAAAGATTTTGATCCTCATGTACCTGCGCCGGGTTCCTCAGCTGTTGTTGTCCAGCGGGTCATGCAGTAAATATAACGCTTGCTGGCAGGCCGTGCTTTTGGCTAGCTATCCAACAAAGATGGTCACCGCATCGCGGGCCACTGGAGCTATGCACAACAAACATATAGAATGAAAACTCATTTCTTTAAGAGTCCTTTTTTGTGTTGTTTGCTGTCCTTCCCCCGCACCTCCGATTATCACTGCTGGCTACGTATGGTGCCAAGGAAGTTTAACATACACATCGTAGTGTCAAGTGTACAGAACATTATGCTTTTAATGGTGTTGTGACATCACCACGTCTTCACACGTGACTGCTAATCTGTTACCTCCTGCCTCCAGGAGCCCGGGTGCAATAAAATTGTGTAAAACCTATCAGGCAGAGAATTGCATAGGCTTCGAAAATATGCATGGAGTGAAATGCTCAGTGTCTGCGCAAATTTGGACACTCGTCAGTGGTTGCTACGGATGACATCATCACTCCCGTTACATCAGCCAATCAGCTGCCAGGAAAACAATCCTCACGCAACATGGCTACCGTGTTGCATCAGGACTTGTGCAACATGGCTGCCGTGACGTCATCGCTCCATGAGCTAAAGCTGACCTAAGTCGCATATATATATTATTCCAGTAATTTTAACTCACGCGCGAAATTTTGCATGCAATGATTTGTGCAAAGTGTGTGAGAGTGCATCTATGTCATTGTCTGAGTGTGTTACTTTGAGTGGGAATGTCTTTATGTGTGACAGTGGTTTTTGTGTTTTATTTGTATTTATGTACTAGCCTTGATAGGTGCTCGCTAACAGGATGTTGAAAGGCTATATGGAGGATATGTTTAGTCAATTTGTGACAGTGTGTGTTCGTGTGGGGCGAGTATTTGCATTCGATTGTGCATGTGTGTGTTTGTGCTTTGAGTGTATAGATGTGTTTTTGTAATAGTATTTGGATGTATGGCTGTACCTCTGTATGTGTATTTGTTAAAGTGTGTGCGGAGCAGTAGTGTAGCGGTTAGCGCGCGATGCCAAAAACCCGGCGACTGGAGTTCGATTCCCACTCGCAGCCACACCAGTGACGATATGAACCGGTCCTGGGCCTCCCCTAGGCAGGCTCAGCCTCAAATGAGTACCTGGTGTGGTGTGTAGAAAACATTGCCACTGGTCAGGCGTGGTGTCGGGACATCCACCCCCTCATGTATCGTGTCGGCCTTATTAGATCCTCGCTAACAGCACTTGCCCCAACAGTCTGTTCAGGCTATACGGGAGATCTTTGTCTTTGGACGTGAGTGATGGCCGACTCAAAGCTGGCCTATGAGACCACTGGTCTCATGGAAATGTATGCAATTATCTTGCGTAATTCCCGTAGGGACTGGGAAATTGGGACAAATGTTTGATCACATGTTTTATAGAATTGTGTAAGACGTCAAGGTCGTCTCTCATCTCTCTTATTTATCTTTTTTATTTTATAAATGTCCATCCCTTTAGGTCTCAGTGAGCCATAGCTCTCGGCAGATTATAGCTTCGTGGGGGAGGGTAGGCACTCCAACAACCTTTTTGAGCCAGATATGGCCCATGACAGCTGGCTGAAGAACTCTGCATTGGTGCTTTGTGTGGATCAAACTAAAAAAAAAATTCCAAGTGGTTTTATGCTCAACTCTTGTACAAAGCCAAGCGGTGGGACCTCCATAATCGCATCCTGGGGAAAAGACAACTAATATGAAACTCACTGCTGACGTTTTATTGACTCTGAAGGAACGAAAGGCTGCCTCTCACCCCTGAGTGGAATTTGTACTCTCAACATTAAGACTGTGAGCGCACGGGCACCAACAGTCCAAATCCAGTCACTAAACGAAAAAATATGAATCGTTGACGCGAGATTATCTCCGTCAGCGGCCATTCCACATTCTCTTACACGGGCACACACATTTGTCAAGATCGCGCACGCAATGCCTTAGACACGACACGCCGATTGTTCTTCCTTCTGCCAGATCCTAACAACGTTCGCCCCTTCTTAGTTCTGCTTTTAAATGTCTTATTACTTGTACTAAAACAGGATGTATGAGTCACTGCAATGCCACTCTCAGTAAACCTCACAACCACCTCCATATCCTGTGCACGTGCCCCACCCGTCACAACCTGCTCCCAGAACACGTCCACGATTATTTGATGCCACGTTCAAGTATGGACTTTCAAGTGGCTTACCACACCATACCCATAGCGTGAAATGCATCGCATGCTCAGCCCGCATTGCGCGTGTATTTAAAAGGCAGATGTCACTTGGAATGGGTCGGCTTCTCTTGAGCTACACAAGAGTCTGTAGCAACACAAAAAACTTTACTTCTGCCTCGAACACCCCGTGTTCTGCCAACACTAAAGGTAACAACTGAAACGTACAATACTGTAAACGTTTTACACCACCAATGATACAAACAGGAACGCCTGTACTCATCATACCTGTCAACCCCTTATCAGTGCCCTACCTTATTACAGACCGATTCAGACCTTATTGGTCACCCCGTGCCCTTATAAATATCAACGTTTATCCTGTACACAATACTATACACTACACTGTACACTACTATACACTACACTTATACACAAACCTGTCAACCCCTTATCAGTGCCCTACCTTATTACAGACCGATTCAGACCTTATTGGTCAACCCGTGCCCTTATAAATCTCAACGTTCATCCTGTACACAATACTATACACTACACTGTACACTACTATACACTACACTTATACACAAACCTGTCAACCCCTTATCAGTGCCCTACCTTATTACAGACCGATTCAGACCTTATTGGTCAACCCGTGCCCTTATAAATCTCAACGTTCATCCTGTACACAATACTATACACTACACTGTACACTACTATACACTACACTTATACACAAACCTGTCAACCCCTTATCAGTGCCCTACCTTATTACAGACCGATTCAGACCTTATTGGTCACCCCGTGCCCTTATAAATCTCAACGTTCATTCTGTACACAATACTATACACTACACTGTACACTACTATACACTACACTTATACACAAACCTGTCAACCCCTTATCAGTGCCCTACCTTATTACAGACCGATTCAGACCTTATTGGTCACCCCGTGCCCTTATAAATCTCAACGTTCATCCTGTACACAATACTATACACTACACTGTACACTACTATACACTACACTTATACACAAACCTGTCAACCCCTTATCAGTGCCCTACTTTATTACAGACCGATTCAGACCTTATTGGTCACCCCGTGCCCCTTATAAATCTCAACATTCACCCTACAAAGTCCCATCACAAGGGAGACACACAAAGAGAGAACATTCTTTTGCCCGTATTGAAAACTCAACTTCCCCCTGTACAACGAAAACTAATTAAACCGTACGGGCTGACAGCTGTGGACTGTACAATAATGATCCCAATGACAACGAAAGCTAACCGTTAAATAATCCAACATGCGGTCAATTATAAAGTTATGCATAGAATAGTAAATGCAATAAAACACGCTCTTGAACTTCACGTAGAGGTGATATCCTATTTAGGTTAAAAAAATAAACGTCTCGATGTTTAAATGAGCAGTATTGTTACTGGTCACAGTGAAGACTTGGTATTCACCCCAAACACGATGAACATCAACTCACTGTGACCCGACAGGATAATTAATTCATGACAGTCAGCAAAAAAAAGACATCTATCCATGGGACGCCAAAAGCTTTAAATCTTGTCCATTAAGCACGGTGCGAAAAAAGTCCAACACACAAGTATACATTTGGCAAAAGCCGAACGCAGGGCATATATAGTATTCATATATGAATAATAGTTATTACTTTATAATCATTCAAGCTGCGATATCTGTGAAGATATTGTTGCCGGTTACAAACAGCACTGTTAGTCGTGTCAATGAGAAGGGCGTGGAAGCGTCTTGTGACTCACCATGCACACAGTCTGTGTTAGAAGCCTCACCTCACACAGAGACCGTGTTAGAAGCCTCACCATACACACAGTCTGTGTTAGAAGCCTCACCATACACCGAGTCTGTGTTAGAAGCCTCACCTTACACACAGTCTGTGTTAGAAGCCTCACCTTGCACAGAGACTGTGTTAGAAGCCTCACCATACACAGAGACTGTGTTAGAAGCCTCACCTTACACACAGTCTGTGTTAGAAGCCTCACCATACACAGAGTCTGTGTTAGAAGCCTCACCTCACACAGTCTGTGTTAGAAGCCTCACCATGCACACAGTCTGTGTTAGAAGCCTCACCTGACACAGAGCTTGTGTTAGAAGCCTCACCTGACACAGAGCTTGTGTTAGAAGCCTCACCTGACACACAGTCTGTGCTAGAAGCCTCACCTGACACACAGTTTGTGTTAGAAGCCTCACCTGACACACACAGTTTGTGTTAGAAGCCTCACCTGACACACAGTTTGTGTTAGAAGCCTCACCTCACACACAGTTTGTGTTAGAAGCCTCACCTGACACACAGTCTGTGTTAGAAGCCTCACCATACACAGAGTCTGTGTTAGAAGCCTCACCTCACACAGTCTGTGTTAGAAGCCTCACCATGCACACAGTCTGTGTTAGAAGCCTCACCTGACACACAGTTTGTGTTAGAAGCCTCACCTGACACACAGTTTGTGTTAGAAGCCTCACCTGACACACAGTTTGTGTTAGAAGCCTCACCTGACACACAGTCTGTGTTAGAAGCCTCACCATACACACAGTTTGTGTTAGAAGCCTCACCTGACACACAGTCTGTGTTAGAAGCCTCACCTGACACACAGTTTGTGTTAGAAGCCTCACCTGACACACAGTCTGTGCTAGAAGCCTCACCATACACACAGTCTGTGCTAGAAGCCTCACCTGACACACAGTTTGTGTTAGAAGCCTCACCATGCACACAGTTTGTGTTAGAAGCCTCACCATGCACACAGTCTGTGTTAGAAGCCTCACCTGACACACACTTTGTGTTAGAAGCCTCACCATGCACACAGTCTGTGTTAGAAGCCTCACCTGACACACAGTTTGTGTTAGAAGCCTCACCTGACACACAGTCTGTGTTAGAAGCCTCACCTGACACACACAGTCTGTGTTAGAAGCCTCACCTGACACACAGTTTGTGTTAGAAGCCTCACCTGACACACAGTTTGTGTTAGAAGCCTCACCATGCACACAGTCTGTGTTAGAAGCCTCACCTGACACACAGTTTGTGTTAGAAGCCTCACCTGACACACAGTTTGTGTTAGAAGCCTCACCTGACACACACAGTCTGTGTTAGAAGCCTCACCTGACACACACAGTTTGTGTTAGAAGCCTCACCTGACACACAGTTTGTGTTAGAAGCCTCACCTGACACACAGTTTGTGTTAGAAGCCTCACCTGACACACAGTCTGTGTTAGAAGCCTCACCTGACACACAGTCTGTGTTAGAAGCCTCACCTGACACACAGTTTGTGTTAGAAGCCTCACCTGACACACAGTCTGTGCTAGAAGCCTCACCATGCACACAGTCTGTGTTAGAAGCCTCACCTGACACACAGTCTGTGTTAGAAGCCTCACCTGACACACAGTTTGTGTTAGAAGCCTCACCTCACACACAGTCTGTGTTAGAAGCCTCACCTGACACACAGTCTGTGCTAGAAGCCTCACCATGCACAGTCTGTGTTAGAAGCCTCACCATGCACACAGTCTGTGTTAGAAGCCTCACCTGACACAGTTCAACGTGGCCGGGGCTGTAGCGAATGTTGAGGCCTCTCTCCAGCCCGTACGACTGCATCTCTCGATCTCTCTTTCTCTCCGTGTGCGTGTGATGTTTTATATAACAAGGATTCTTAATCTTTTCCACCACCACGGTTTAAAAAATAAAATTGTAACCCGAAAACCTTGCCTCGATCGCGACAACAACAAACAACAACAGCCAGTGGCAGTGTGGTGGTGGTCGTGGGGGTGGCGCTCAATTTCCATAGACCACTTCGGCCGCGCGTGACTCTGATTGGTCAGCCGCGAGGGCGGCTCGCGCGATGGTCGCGTTTCCCGATTGGCTGACGCGCGAGCGCGGGGACCAATCGGAGAGCCTCCGAGCGGGCGCGTGTCTTGTTCGTTGTACGGAATGCAAACGCGTCCGTGGTAACCCGGAAGTTAATGATGTTGTCCTGAAAGCCTTGAAACGTCAAATGCTGCACTGGGTAATGGGGAGGCCTTTAAAAAAATAAAAAAATAAATGTTTATATTGGACAGGATGTTATATTTTAAATATGTGCGGTAACTTATGGGTACCTATGGATTAAAAAATATTTTTTTTTATTTTTTTTGTATGTGGTCCTTTTTGTGCATTGTCAGCAGTGTTTGTGATGGATTCTTGGGTGTCTATGCCAAGCGTTTTGTTTATTTATTCTGCCTTTCGTACGCATACCTGTAGTGATCATACCTGTAGTGATCATAGATGCAGTGATCACAACTGTTGTGATCATAGCTGCAGTGATCATAGCTGCTGTGATCATAGCTGTTGTGATCACAGCTGCAGTGATCACAGCTGCAGTGATCATAGCTGTCAACCCACACGATTTACCCGTATTCTTGTACAGGGAAATTTTGTTTGCAAGTCCATACGGCGTGCAGCCGTTTCAATACGAGCAAAAAAATATAAATCATACGGCCAAATAAGAAAAGTATTTTAACCTCTCATAATTTTCCGTGTTTATTGTTGTACATTTACAACATGAGTGTGTGCATCCACATAGCAAGCAAACAAACAGCAGCATCAGCATGCAAGATCACAAGACAATAGCATGACGGGTAGCATCATTGACACCGATTATCAAAGTTCATACATAAAAGTTGTTTTGTTTAGCAACGTAATTTTTGTCTGTGTTTCTCCCTTATGATGGGAACTTTGTTAGCGTGAACGTTGAGATGTATAAGGGCACGGGGTGACCAATGAGGTCTGAATTGCTCTGCAGGCACTGACAAGGAGTTGTGGATGCCGAGCGACAAACTGTGGCATTGCGTGGTTATAAGTTGTACCGTCTGGTCCGGATGACCAGAGTCGGACACTACTGGAGAGGTTTCAATGTTGCCATTTGTGCATCTACTGCCGTGGTTTGTTGCAGTGGATGCGGTTTAGGGTGGATCGTGGTGAGGCTGTGAGTCGTCTTCTTTCGTGTGATGTCGATGCAAGCCGACAACTGCAATGTCTTAAGCCAAGGCAACCGCGTCAGAAGTTGTATCATCATCGTCATCATCATCGTCGCCGTGATGTCTCCTCCGTAGTTGTGGGTCGGGGCATTGCGTCGCTATGCGTTGTAACGATCTGGTCTGGGGCCAACTCAAATCCCACGGTGCCTGTGGGGTTTTTTACATTATGAGACCTCCTTTGCCAGAAACAAGATATAGGAATAGGTTTTACCCTTTTAACTGGCACAAAAACTGACACCTTTATTCAAGGCATCATGTTTGCCAGTTAAAAGGGTAAAACCTATTCCTATATCTTGTTTCTGGCAAAGGAGGTCTCATAATGTAAATGCTCACCCCGAGCCCTCAATACTCTGATAGTGCGCTGTTTTTGAGTTGTACGCCTTTTGGCGTCTTCTGGTCCAACACCAGTGGAGACTAGGCTCTAAGAAAAGCCGTCTCGGGTGTGGACCAATCAAATTCAAGGACAGTGCATATTATTATCAGGGTTGTCTTTTTTGTTTGCATTTTGACTGCTTGTGTTGTGGTTATTGCAAACATGATACCTTGAATAAAGGTGTCAGTTTTTGTGCCAGTTAAAAGGGTAAAACCTATTCCTATAGCCTGTGAGGTTGTCAATAACAACAACATCTCGCAGTCCAGCAGCACTTGTCGAAAGAGCCTGTGGCTCTGTCGATGAGAGCCAAGAGAGTCAACAACCTGTCCAGAGTTGTCTCTTGCTTAATAAAAAAAATAACTGCTGGATAACATTGGTCTGGAAGGCCACTGGGCTGGTGGTGGACATTGCCCGTGGTGGACACTGCCAGCATTTGCACAGTCACACAGTCACATAGTCAATGCTAGATTTAAAGCTTTCGTGACTGCAAGGATCCATACTCTTTGGTTCTATTCGGTAAAGTCACGTAGGTAAAAAATAAAACGACAAAAATCACGACGTTTCGGCCACAACACAAGTGAAGGCCACTTGTGTTGTGGCCGAAACGTCGTGACAAAAATCACGTTTCGGCCACAACACAAGTGAAGGCCACTTGTGTTGTGGCCGAAACGTCGTGATTTTTGTTGTTTTAATTTTTTACCTCCGTGACTTTACCGAATAGAACCAAAGAGTATAAGTCACGTAATCACTTTAAGATGTTTTTCTTGTTCGTGTTTTTGTTTTATTTGTTTGTTGTGGTTGCACCCGATTCAAGAGCCGAATGGCTCACAGGGGCTATACCAAAATAAACTGAAACTGAAGCTGGCTAATGGGACCAAGTCGGTTTGGATCGTGCTGGGTGGTGGTGTTAGTGGTGGTGGTAGTAGTGGTGGTAGTGGTGGTGGTAGTGGTGGTGGTAGTGGTGGTAGTGGTAGTAGTGGTGGTGGTAGTGGTGGTGGTAGTGGTAGTAGTGGTGGTAGTGGTAGTAGTGGTGGTAGTGGTGGTGGTAGTGGTAGTAGTGGTGGTGGTGGTAGTAGTGGTGGTAGTGGTGGTAGTGGTAGTAGTGGTGGTGGTAGTGGTGGTGGTGGTAGTAGTGGTGGTAGTGGTGGTGGTAGTGGTAGTAGTAGTGGTGGTAGTGGTGGTGGTAGTGGTAGTAGTGGTGGTGGTAGTGGTGGTGGTAGTGGTAGTAGTGGTGGTAGTAGTGGTGGTGGTAGTAGTAGTGGTAGTAGTGGTAGTGGTGGTAGTGGTAGTAGTGGTGGTGGTAGTGGTGGTAGTAGTGGTAGTAGTGGTGGTGGTAGTGGTAGTAGTGGGTCAATATCGTGACCTGGAACTTTGAGGACTCCGCTGCAACGCCCCGGGATAGGTGGCAGGGGGCACCAAACAGCCACGGATTTCACTTCGGAACGAGACTAAAAATGTGGGCCCCACCATCACCACCACCCCCATCAGGATCCTCTCTGCTGCACGCTGCGTGTGACACGGAAGCGTTTGTAAGAAGACGGCACGAGTCGTGGAACCGCCAACAACAGATCGGTTTTATTTGCCGTTTTACTTTCATAACAAAGGCCAAATGTTGAGATTAAGAAGGTTGCCAGACTCGTTGTAATCCCACGGCACCCACGGCAGTGTATTAAGTGCGCCCTGTGTGTGTGCGTGCGTGCGAGAGAGACGGACGTGCTGGTATCACAATACAGGTAACCCGCACAATGTTATAGTCCCTTTGTAACACAGTGATGATCATTGTGGTCATTGACTGCCCCCCTTTGTACATCCTCTGGCCCGGATGAGTACCTGTTCGCGCTGTCGGTCATGGGGGATTGTTTGACTATACTTCACCACGCTGGTTACTGGTGTAGCGGGGATCCATGGTACTCTACACACAAGGACCGGTTCGGATATGACTCGCCGCTGATGTTAAACCGTGGCCCGGAATCCAATCATCGATCCATCCCTGTAACACGTATCCTTTATCCCCTACCATAATTGTACGTCGGTCTTGTGGAAAATCTCCTTGTGTACGTTTTTTTTTACTTTGCTCATAAGCGTGGAGAGCAATAGATTACGTTCAAGTAAACGACGTTGTCTGTTACTGTACGTCTAAGGCTCCCACGTGGATGTTCGTCACCTTCGCCCAGCCCTCCTTGACCAGCGTGGTGAAGTATGCTCAAATAATCCCACACACACACACAACGAACCCGCGCTTGGGGAACGGGGAAGGCCCTGAATCCAGCAGTGGATTGAACAAGGCCTCTGTAAGATAAGCGCGACGTGGATGGTTAAGAGGCGTGTCGTTGTGAGACTGTGACGTCATCAGGGGGCCGTCCATAAATGACGTCACGAGATTTTGGACGATTTTTGACCCCCCCCCCCTTCGTCACACGACGTCACAAAAAGTCAGACCCCCCCCCTCTCAAATATGACGTCACAAAGCTCTGCCCCCCCCCCCCAAAAATATATAAAACATGCTTCAAATCGCTTTAAACTATTGTCATTGTAGTGCGTATTTAATGTGGCGCTACATTCTGATGTAAGAGAAAACATTTACTAAAAAGTCTATTTAATTAAGTAGAACGTGTTGTCTATATTTATTTAAAGTTGCGCATTTTGATGTGACGTCACATTTCTCAAACCCCCCCCCCCCTCGTCACACATCGTCACAAATGTCTGACCCCCCCTCCCCCCCAGGTGCGTGACGTCATTTATGGACGGCCCCTTAGCTGTCAACCCCTTGTCAGTGCCCTAGCTTATTGAATTTTTGCCCACATTGTAAAGGCTGTACGCAAAATACGGACCTGAAAACTCAATTTCCCTGTACAAGAATACGGAGTACACCGTGCGGGTTTACAGCTGTGAGATGCCCGTATTGTTCATGCAAAGACGGGAGGGGTGGGGAGGCATTTGGCAAGAAGAGACAGTTGTGGGTACTAACCGTGGAAGAAGGTGTGCCTGTGTCCACGCAGGCATGAGTGGGGATCTGGGAAGAGTCTTTGTCACCGTTGGCACCACGTCCTTCGATGAGCTGATTGAGACCGTCTCTTCTGATAGAGCCACGCACGTAAGTTCCACATCGGGGTTCGGCTACGTACGGGGCGAAAAAAGTTCGACTGTACAGGGACTCCTCTACTTACGAGCGAGTTAGATTCCAGAGTTCTGTTCGTAAGTCCAACTTTACTCCTGTCGATTTAAAACGCGTTGTACGGCGTGTTCACTAAACACGGGGAATGGCTTTAAAAAGTTGTATAATCTCCTGTAGATGTAGATGCCACTGGTTCTTCACGTTCTGTGGATGTAGATGCCACTGGTTCTTCACGTTCTGTGGATGTAGATGGAGATGCCACTGGTTCTTCACGTTCTGTGGATGTAGATGCCACTGGTTCTTCACGTTCTCTAGATGTAAATGCCACTGGTTCTTCACGTTCTGCGGATGTAGATGCCACTGGTTCTTCACGTTCTGTGGATGTAGATGCCACTGGTTCTTCACGTTCTGTGGATGTAGATGGAGATGCCACTGGTTCTTCACGTTCTGTGGATGTAGATGCCACTGGTTCTTCACGTTCTCTAGATGTAAATGCCACTGGTTCTTCACGTTCTGCGGATGTAGATGCCACTGGTTCTTCACGTTCTGTGGATGTAGATGCCACTGGTTCTTCACGTTCTGTAGATGTAGATGCCACTGGTTCTTCACGTTCTGCAGATGTAGATGCCACTAGTTCTTCATGTTCTGTGGATGTAAATGCCACTGGTTCTTCACTTCATGCAGATGTAGATGCCACTGGTTCTTCACATTCTGTGGATGTAAATGCCACTGTTTCTTCACGTTCTGCAGATGTAGATGCCACTGGTTCTTCACGTTCTGCAGATGTAGATACCATTGGTTTTTCATGTTCTGCAGATGTAGATACCATTGGTTTTTCATGTTCTGCAGATGTAGATACCACTGGTTCTTCACGTTCTGTAGATGTAGATGTCACTGCTTCTTCATGTTCTGTAGATGTAGATGCCACTGATTGTTCACGTTCTGCAGATGTAGATGCCACCACCGTCATCTATTGCGCGACGGTTGAACTTACGACTCTCGGTCCGAACAGGCAACTGGACATATGGACAGATTTGTTCGTTTCTCTGAAGGTTCGTGAGTCGCGTTTTCGTAAGTAGAGGAGTCCCTGTACATACATCATTGTATGTACACTACGACATGTGACATGTGCAGCTCGACCTTAAAATACCGGATAATTTATTTTCTTATCAAGACCCCGTTATGTCCATGCAGCCCATTTATAGCCGTGCAATGTTAATTAAATGTTAATTACGTTCCTTTTTAAGTCGTAAAATATATCTATCAAGTTCAAGGTTACGAAAAAAAAAACCATTAAAACCGCCAAAAATCACGAGCCAATTCTGGAACCCACATTCCAGCGCTGCAGTAGTTACTGCGCGGTACGGGGCTGAACTGGGACTCCACTGGCACGCGACGCTTCTGCGCAGCGTGGAGATGCAGCTAACAGCACGTCAGCAGTGCTTTGCACGCTGTTAATATGTTGTTGAGCTTTGGGAGTGTGATTTTTTTCGTTAATGCAATTTTTGAATATTTAGAGGTCCCGCCATATATCCCTGTTTTATATATGGGACACTGCACATCCGGCCACGATATTTGGGAGACACAACTGCATGGACGTATGTTGAACTTATTTTGCACCGTACATAGCCAACCTTGCTAACCGGTGGTGCGGAGCAAGGACAACAAACTAAATACAAAAAGCAGTTTTAAAGAGATGAGCTTTCAATATAGATTACTTAAAGTGCATAGCTCCAGTGGCTTGCTATCATCGGAAGGAAGAACGTTCCAGGCGGCTGCAGAAGCGCATCCGAAAGCGCGCGATGCGGTGACCGTCTTCGTTCAATGTCCAACACAAAAGCGCTGCTGCTGCTGCTGCTGCTACTGCTGCGAGGATTGAGCGGAGGTCACGTGACGGTGTATGTCCCTTGACGAGACTGTGGTGCGGGACTTGTCGCGCCGGCGCGGAATTTCCGCCACCGCCTGAAAATCGCCAAAAGGCACACGCACGCGAGCACTTTCAAAAACACCGCACGTGTTCGACGCTGGGAGCACTCTGAACCGCGACATTGTTGCATCGTTAACCCCTCCCCCCCCCCCCCCCCTACTTGTGTCAGCAGGTGCTGAGGTCGCTGGGCTACTCGGAGTTGGTGCTGCAGGTGGGGCGGGGAGCGCTCCTGCCGGAGCCCGTAACGCACTCGGGGTTCCGCTTGACCGCGTTCCGCTACAAGGATTCCCTGGCCGAGGATATGCAGGCCGCGTCGCTCATCATCAGCCACGCTGGTGAGCGGGATTCTTTAAGCGTTGTTGACGTCGCCTGTCTCCCACGTTATACGGTGGCCCCTCGGTTTACGATGCCATCGGTAACGATATTTCGATGAACGATCCGGCTCCCGTAGGGTCCCCCCGTTGTTTTTATTAGCGATACATTTTCGATTAACGATACGTTTACGCTATCACGCGGCCGCCAATTTCAGCTGATCGGAGCGCTCCTGAGTGGACTTGGCAGAACTCAGCCAATCATGGATGCCCTTTTATGAGAGTTTTGAGAGCAACTGGCTGCTAGCTTTTATCAATGGTTGATGTACGTTGCTTATGGAAACAGCTCTTTTGAATACTATGTTTGATTAACAATGATTTCATTTAACGATGGTTTTCGTGGAACCAATTAATATCGTTTACCGCACATACTTGTTGGTGAACATGCAAACAAAAAAGCATGCTCTGGTAGTGTACGATGCATTGTCTTTGAAACTAATTGGTCCACACCAGAGACAGCTTTCTTTAGAGCCTAGTCTCAAACGGTGTTAGACCAGAGGACGCCAAAAGGCGAGCAGCACAAAGACGACGCCACTCTCAGTTCGTAGGTCGCGGGTCCGATTCGACCCCCACGACCGCGATTGTTGCAACGATGGGAAAGTTTCTATAAGCCTCCCGCCCCCGCCCCCGTCCACGCAGCAGTATTAACGGCTGCACCGCAGGCGATGTGCAGGTCGTGCGTGGTGGTGGTGGTGGTGGCGGTAAAGCGTGGGTACACTTCCACCTCTTTCAACAACGTGTCTGGCTCGCGTGGATGAGTATGCCAAATGCCTTCGAGAGGGGCTCTCTGGAGCTCCAGTGCAGGCCCTTCTACCCAGAGCGGCATCAGAATCAGAATATGCATTTCTACTGGAGGAATCGGACAAGCGATGAAGCTCTTTTCCACGGGTGTCCGGTGGAGCAAGACAGCGCTTGACTCTTATCATCGTCACAATTTATTCTTGATACTGCGCCTCCCGTGGCGTGGATTTCGAGGCGCCGGAAGAAAGGGGTATTTCATATATCTACCGCGACAGTCACTCAGCGAGGAAGTGATTCCAGACCAAATACACTGTGGGAAAGTAAAGCAGTGTAGACAATACACTCGGGGGGGGGGGGGGGGGGGGAAAAGCCGGGAGGCAAACAACTTCAGTGCTGCGTCACGACAAGGAGGAGAGTTTCCATTCAACACCCAGCAGTGGCAAGAGACCGGCCACGGTAGATGACGTCACAGAGCTGCTTCTGAAGTCACTCCGCCAGACCCCTCTTTATTATTAAAACTCGCAGCATTTTACCGTACGCACGGTATTTGCCGCGCAGAAAGGTTCTGCCGTACGTCGATCGAACCAAAGATTTTCATCTTTTGAGGTGGAATTTAGCCAATTCAAGTTGAAGAAATATTATAAGATGACCGTTTTGGGGCATTCGTTGGTGAGCGGGCTCTGGCTATCAACCTGCTACAAATGGGATCCCGGCCCTCAATTGGGAACTTGGATCTGAACAGTTCCATCTCAGCGCTCTGATCCTGTTGTAGCAAGTAATCTATGTCTGTATGTATGTTGAACTTCTTACACACCATACGTAGCCAACCGTGCTAATCAAAGGCGCGGGGGAAGGACAACAAATTAAACACGAGAAGGAGTTCTCAAGAAATGAGTGCACCAATCTAGCTGATTTCAAAATGCACAGCTATGGTGCCTTCCTAATATCGGAAGGAAGAGCGTTCCAGACGGCCGCTGAAAGAGCGCGATGCAGCGGCCATCGTTGTTTGATGGCTTGCAGCCACAAGCGCCGCTGCTGCTGCTGCTGCGAGGAGTTTGCGTGATTGGTTTACGATTAGAGGACACCTCCGATCTGGTGTTGGGCAGTCAGTCCCGGGTCACAGACGCCACTGTCAGTCAGGCCCGTAGTGGCGGGGGGGGGGGGGGTCTGTATGGGGCTGAGCCGCCAAGGCAAGGTAAAACACGGTGGTACAATATTCACAGGGTGGTACAACATTCACGTTTGAGAGCGAGAGCAGAATGCATGTTAGACAAAAGCCGGTCGCATCCAGTTGCTCATCCTGCTGAGTGTTTAACACTCGTTCCACGTTTGTTTAACATTGAGCGTGTTGTGCCCACCCTGAGTGTGTGGACGGGCCCCCACTTTAAACAAGGTTACGCCTTTTGGCGTCTTCTGGTCCAACACCAGTGGAGACTGGGCTCTAAGAAAAGCCGTCTCGGGTGTGGATCAATCAAGTTCAAGAACAGTGCATATTATCAGAGTTGTCTCTTTTGTTTGCATTTTGACTACTTGTGTTGTGGTTATTGCAAACATGATCCCTTGTATAAAGGTGTCAGTTTTTTCGTGCCAGATAAAAGGGTAAAAACCTATTACTATAAGGTTACTGCTGCAGGGTTGGTGGTGGGAGGCCGCTCGTTTGTATCTACTACCCCCAGAGTCTACCTTCCCCCCCCCCCCCCCCGCAGCTATCCGTGCTGTTGACTCCCTGCTCCTGCTCAAGCCCAGGCTTAAAACCTTCTTCCTGTTTTCCTCTGCCTATGAATAATGCCCCCACACCCCCACTGCCCCCCCGCCCCCCCCCACACTTTGAACAAGGTCACGCTCCAGGGTTGCCATCCGTACAGGAGCCTGCCACAGCGTGAAACGCGCGCAGGCCAGTCTGCGTCAAACGCGGGGGGCCCTTTTTTTTTTTTAACGCGTGCAGGTGCAGGAAGCTGCCTGGAGGCCCTGGGGTTTTCAAAGCCTCTGGTGGTCGTCATCAACGAGAAGCTCATGGACAATCACCAGCTGGAGTTGGCCATGCAGCTGCAGGAGGACGGTCACCTCTTCTCCTGCACGTGCAGGTGGGGGCTCCCCCTCCCGATCGCTAGCGCACCGCGCTTCGATGAGCGATGCGGCGTTTGGCACGGCACAAGGTGCCAGCCAGCGCAGCCCTGCGGGGCGACTTGAACGGACACCGCCGTCGGCAAGGCGGCGCTTGGGGAACCGTGCGGCCCGTCCGTCCGTGTCGCGTGCGGTTTTTAGCTGACCTCACCGAGCCTCGGGATGTTTTCGGGGGCGCCCCCACCCCCACCCCCACCCCCACCCCCCCCCCCCCGCGAGTGTATTTTTTCTGTGTGAGTGATGTGTATGCATATGGATGTATGTTGAACTTCTTTCGCGCCGTACATAGCCAACCGTGCTGATCGATGGTGTGGGGGGAAGGACAACAAACTAAACACCAAAGCAGATCTAAATAAACGAGTTTGTCACTCTAGACTCTAGAGGATTTAATCGTGCATAGCACCAGTGGCTTCCTAATATCGGAAGGAAGAGCGTTCCAGACGGCCGCAGAAGCGCATTCGAAAGCACGCGATGCGGTGACCACCGTCTTTGTTCGATGGCCGGCCTAAAGCCGCCGCTGCGAGGATGACCGCTGGGATTCTAAATGATCGACGGGGTAAGAGGGTTCAAACAAATTTCCAGCGCGCTGCCTAAATCAGTGGGACCGTAAAACGCAATGGTGCAGCAGGGCGATTTCCCGCATCTATTGTGCCGAACCTGTTGGCGCGTGCCTGGAAAGATACGCGCACGCTCTTAAGCGAGCGGACCGACCTAATACGGTCCGCTCAGCGACGTGCTCGCCATACTTACCTCCCTCCCGCAGGCACCTCGCCGCTTTCAAACGTGGAAAGTATGAACAAGAACTGGCAAAGCGAAAATTGAAGCCACCATCTGGTGCCTTGTACGAAAAGGCCCTCCCGCCGGTATCTAAGACAAACAGTAAACAGTGCTAATGATCCGTTCATCATCATCATCTCATTCCTATTTTAGGCAAAGGAAACTTCGCATTCGGTTTAAAAAAAACACACACACAAATTGCACGTGCTGATGTTCAAACGGCGTGCAGGACGTTTCTGAAAAAGTGTTTTGCCCGTCGTGGTTTTTTTTTGTCGTGTGCAGGTTATTTTTTTCACCCGTCGCTAATGAGGCGGATGCATCGTCAGATAATTTACCCCAACGAGCCAGGCACGGAGTGGTGAAAAAAGCGACATAACAAAATGAAAGGGGCATTATGCGGGCGGTGGTTTGGCACAATTTTGAGTTAGAGGCAGTGAGTGAGTGGTCTGCCCCACATCCATCCACGTTGCCTTCCCTTCCTTCCACTGCAGCAGCTGCAACACTGGCTAATCGATTCTAGATTTAAAGCTTTCGTGACTGCAAGGATCCATACTCTTTGGTTCTATTCGGTAAAGTCACGTAGGTGTTTTATTTTTTACCTACGTGACTTTACCGAATAGAACCAAAGAGTACTGGCTAATCGGTCTAAGGACAAAAAGAGCCATTTTTAGTTCGAATTCGGCAAAACGAAGTGTACACATTTCAAGAGTCGTGATGCACGTGGGTACGAGACGGTCCTCATTAAATGACGTCACGAAGCGGTCCTCGAGAGAGCCACGTGTGGCTCAGTGTACGCAGGCTGCCGACCGCTGGTCTAGGCCGCTAAAGCCAACCCAGGCGAGGCTCAAACAATATACAGCAACTCTCTTCAGGTGTTAGTTGGTTGAGGTGAGGCTCGCACCAGGAATTTATTTCGGGTGAAGTTGATCTAGGGGCAGTGTGCTAAAAATACAATTGGCAAAACCCAAGCGCTTCCACTCCACAATGAACTCTGCGGACAGCCCCGAAGCCAGCGGTGGAAATTCCACGCTCTCATGGAGGGGGCCAGACTCATTATGATGACCACTGTTGACTTCCTACAATGCGGCGCTAATATCTGTTGTCGAGGTAAAAGCTGTCAAAATCTTGAGATCAAGAGTCAAAACGCTGTAATCACGCGCAGCCTTTCTCGATCCACTGCTGCATGAAGACCTTCCTCGTGCCTTGTTGCTCATTGGGGGCTGTTGAACCATCACCACGCGGGTCAGTGTGGGTTGGTGAAGGGAGGGGAGGTCCAGGAGCAGTTGAGGTGTAACTTGCCCTGATTATGTTAGGTGTCGCTGGATATCAAATTCAGTTCGCTGGCTTCGTACAGCAGTGCCCTAAGCACTTCGCCACCACACCACCCACTTCACCTATCAATGCCTGTATCCCATAATATTCTGCATGTGCTGTCACTACTTGAGACCCCTCCCCCCCCCCCCCGATTAGGTAACTCAGTTCTTGCCAACATAGCCCTGGGAATTCCACCAGCCTCTTCCAGAACGACGTGCACTACTTGAGCAAATTGACGAGATGTGTAGTGGACACCTAACGGGCTATCTGCCCGTGGATCATGATGATGCCTATAATGGTGACACTGTTTCAATTTCAGGCTGAGCAGACCCTAGGTTGGAGTTCCACCTTAGATTGCCACTGAGGCTGCGATTCACCACGGTCGTTCCAGTCACCTCCCGGTCACTGCACCGCTGTGTGCTCACGGGCGGGGGTTTATGCCGGTGGAGTCAGCCGTGCGTAAATGTTGATGAGGTAGGAGGAAAAGGGACTTGTGTGGCTAAAGACTTGAGCGTCATTAGCGGGAGAGAAGATACGCAGGCGTGCGACGCTTCAAGCTTAACGAACACAAAGGAATGACGCATGAATGGGCCAAAGTGTCTTGCATAGATTTATTAAAATGTTATATATATAGTGAACGCTGACTGCATTGGCTTTCATCCACAATTCAATTGCAAACCCTACTGGGTACGGCGGGGGGGGGGGGGGGGAGCGGATATACCTCATTGTCTTAATATTTCATTACAAATTTACCCAAAGGCCATTATTCAAAATGTTAGACACAGCCACATAGCAACCCTAACGAGTTTCAAAGCCAAATACCAAACCCTACTGATTTAAGGGCCAGGCTTGTTGATTTTATTGTTGTTGTTTGACCCCTTTTACCACAGACCTTTTGTTGAAAACATAAATGTTGTCAAAAATGTTACGAAGCTGTACGGCTGCCCTTTCAAATTCATCTGCGCGGTAAGAAGGTTGAAACATCGCCAGCTCGCTGCTTAAAATCAGTCGGGCTGGCACACGCGTTGCTGTGAAACGTGAAGGCGCGGCGCTGCAACCTCCAGCTCGCGACACCACTGGCCTAAGAGCCCCCTCTGGATGATCCGCCTCGAGAGGCTATGTTAGCAGCCTCCTCTTCCACGCGAGCCAGGAGTCTTGGAAGAGGGAGGGGTGGGAGGTTGGAGCAACGCACATCTTGTACAGCCATTCTAAGTACCTGGACAAGATGACTCGGAGATTGCTGTTTCGTAACTTACTATTATAATATAAAAGTGGCGTTAATGACAGTGCCAAGGGGCGAGATGTTAACTACCTCGCCTGGTATTCAGGAGTTCGTTGGTTCAATCCAGACCCTGATGCCTACTGGATATCTGGAGTTTGCATGTCTCTCTCCCCGTGGTCACGTGGGGTTTTCCGGTTTCTCCCTCCACATTTGTAATCGACATCACCACGCGTTCAGAGTAATTGGCCGCCGCAGATTTCCACGTGATAAGCCACTCTGTTGAGCTCTCATTTGTGGCCAGGTCGCTTCTGAAAAAGAGCGCTACACAGCTCAGTGGGCCTCACTTGGTAAAATAAACAAACAAAAAAAGTTTAGTTTAGCAAATCGCTGTCGCCGTTTCTCCTCTGCCTCGCAGCACCCTTGTGGAGACTCTCCGCGAGATGGATCTCAAGACGCTGAAACCGTTCCCTCCAGGCCAGCCCGAGAAGTTTGCGCAGTTCCTGGATGAAGTGATGGGCTCCACATGACAGGCAAAGAAACGATTCGGTGGATCCGCAGCGCCAAACGCTCGCCATCCCCGTCATCACCCCCTGACGTGTCCTTGTCATAAACACTGCGCGTTCGTGAAGCAACAACCGTGGGGGAAAAAAGAAAAAAAACACTGGCGGGAATTCTCATCGCCGTTGCCTTGCGCATCCACGCTCGGTGGCGGTCGCGAAGGTTTCACCATTGTCAAATTGGTCGGCTTTTGGTAAACAGGGGTTGTGGCGGGTGCGATCCATTTGTAGAAAACCCCATGAAAGTAAAAGGGAGAAATTTACAGAAAAGCGTTTTTATTTGAAAGCCTAAACACACCTGCCGCCAATCTCAACATTACCGATGAAAATGTTACTCTCCACTCGAAGATACGGAGCCAACCCTTGCAGCAAGTCATTAGAAATCAGTGGGGTACATGTAAATGGGTCGCCGCTGCCTCGTACGTTAATGGGACCGTCGTTTTACGATTAATGTGCCGCTGTCTGGCAGGCAGGTGTGAACATACGACACATCCGAGTTTGACGTAAACGGGAGATTCGTTGCATCTTACCTGTTATATTGATCCCAATGGCTACAAATAAAAACAGAAAACACCTGTTTAATCTTGGGAGAATTCACTCTTGTTTTTCTCCTGATCCAGACACCACCGGAGTGCCCTCAGCACGGCCGTGTGACTCCAATCTCGAACAGTCTCACTGGGCCACTTCCTCAGGACTAAAAATGTGCGACCTCACAAGCGTCTCCTCCTTTTCCCAATGTCAGCTGATCTATGACGATAACCAGCTGCTTCAGTCAGTGAGTTTGCGCCAGCTGATATTTTGACCCATTGAGAATGAACTTGTGATCTTGGGAGCTCTTGCACCTCTATCCTTAATGCCTCTCCTGGGCTTAAAGCTCAATATCAGTGCTGGACATTGGGAGGCAGGCAGGCCTGTCTAACACACCTCGCCGCGATCTGCCGATTCTGTAAGATTCATGCCTGGACGGGAAGTTGTTCCTGTGATTGGAAACTTTTCTAAAAAGCAGATGAAAATTCACCATATATGGGCAGGGCCCCTGTGATCCCCTCTGACTTTTCTCCAGTGCCAACTTTCAAAAGTATCTCCTTGAAGAAGGGACCGGCTGCATTTTCTCACCTTCAACTGCAATCTGCCAGTTTCCTCTGACGCGCAATGCTGGGGACCTCCTGTTCCAATTCGTCAAGTCCAGTAAGCGCTCCCTCCACCTCGATGTCCCCTTGCCGGAGAAACGCTCCTGGGTTTTACTCCAAGCTTTGTAACACCACCGGGAATCTCTCTCTTTGCCGTGCCTCTAAAATAAGCCCCCCAGAAAGCCGTGAAAAATAAACAATGCCAAGTTTATATTCTTAGTTCTTTCGGTAAAGTCACACCTGATGACGACCGTTTGTGTTATGGTCGAAACGTCGTGAGAATTTTTATTGTTTTATATATCTTTTATTATTTTATTGTTTCCCTTCAACGTGACTTTACCGAAATAACTAATAATTTGAATTACTGCAGTCACGAAAGCTTTAAATCAAAATTTAATGCCAAGTTTGTATATTTTTTTTATTTTAAAGCAGTTTATTTGCAAAAGTTCATCAAAACATTTACATTGACATTTCTCACACTGCTGGATACAAGGAGTTGCAGTTGTCAGGAGCAGATGGTAAGCAGTGTTTACTTACAGCACTAAGGAGTTTTGCTATGGAATCACCAAAAATGATGAGCTAAACCAGCCTTATTTATTCTTTAGCCAAAATAGTTTCTCTTCTTAAAAAAAGACCTCTCGTAAAACGAAAAAACAAATCCGTTAGTGTTACTTGTGTCAAAATGTAACATTTAAAGACAGTAGTGTATTGTTTAATATTGTTTACAAAAATTTTCAAAGGAAAAAAAGCTGTAAGCGCTTCATCAATAAGAAATAAATGTTTTAGTACACGTTCGATTTATAAACGTTAAGCTGATTGTAATGCAAGGCAGAGAAATAAATGATAGGCAATTATTGTACATTACAGAGAATGACGTCTCAAGACTTATCGATGTAGTAACACCATCGTGAATTGTAAATAACCAAAGTCGAAAAGTTGAATCATGGCGACAAGTCTTACTCCTAAACAACGCTTCTGCTTTCAAACTTTTATGTACAATGTTTTTAACCACAATTTGTTTCAAATCTCAAACTACATATGCCGTGTATTTTTTTTTCCTTCAATAGTGAGCCAATTCTGAGTGTCTACAATAAAGAATTAGCGTCATTTTAAAAAAGCACGGGAGACTCAAAAATGAAAAATCAGAAAAACACTGTAATGCACTGTTAACGTTAATTGAGCATTAGAGGTTTGCAGATTTCCGCAGCAGAATAAGGAATCGATGCATGGCAATGCGTTTCACAATACGTCAAAAGAATGTGACATTTTAAAACTTGTCACAATCGCCGCTCTGCTTTTATCCGTCTACCACCAACGCAGGGAACCTATCTATGAACGGTCTGATGCACACTCGCGCACACACGCGCACACATCTACAATACAAAACGCTCCGTAATAGAGTAATATAACTACTGCAAGCTGTACACAAATTTTACTGTTATAATCCAATTACCCCAATTCAACCCACACCCTCCCCTTTTAACGTTCATAATTTCTCCAACAGGGACGCACATGGTATACAACAAACAGCCTTACGAATGTGGTTTAAAAAAAAAAATGACAATAAAAAAACTTTAAAAAAACACAATCTTGGCTACAAGCTCACACCTGTAATGTGACTTCGCATCGGATGGTAAAAAAAAGCCACAGGCTTTTGCCTTTTACCAATGTAACGCAAACTGCACGTTACCTAAAAACCACAATTTGTCTGCAGACGTAAAAAAAACGACAGCCCAATACCTCCTCGCTTGCACAAAGCCTTCGGTTTCTCGTGTAATGTGAACTTAAAAACAGGGCACGTGCGCTTGTAAACAAATTCACTTGAACAAAAAACTACTCGGGATAATCAACACGTGCGGTGGAGCCCAGATCTGTTTTTGCCTTGCCCACCCCTCCCACCCCGATCATCCCAAACCTTCCCCATTTCATGGTCCTGCAGTCAAGACAAATAACAAAAAAACTATGAACTTAAGCCAATCGAATTATTTAATTGAACTTCAATCTCTTTTTAACGAAAGTCGCCCCAAAGACTTCAGAACCCAGGCAATTGCACAGTTGGCAAAAAAAAAGACTGCAAGTTAAACCTGGATGCAAAACACAGAGCACTGCGCTTCTAGGAAGCAACCTCATGACAATAATTACGATCCAAAAAGCAATTAACTCCAAATCGGCAATCCTTTCCATTGGATACCAAGTTTTTTTCAGTTTTTTTTAACAACAATTGTGTGTTACTCTAACTTTTCTCAACCTCGGAAGGTGTTTGCAACTGCAGCCTCGTTGAAAGGCAACGCAACTTTTTTTTCCCCCCACAGTACCTTTTTTTTGCCACGGTGGCATTTGGGTTCTTTAGGATCTGTCTCAAGGCTGTTAAGGTCCACATGTTTTACCAACGCAAAAAGCTGCACCGTCACGCAGCAGAGAATCAAACCGTCATCGGGTACACAATCTGCCCAGTGTTCCGAGGCCCTAAAAAGTCATGCGCAGCAACTTCTGTAATCGAACAGTCCACTTCTTCTTCTTCTTCAAGCCTTTTAACTTCACGAAGCAACAAGTTAATACCTGAAGACTCAATGGCCAGGTGAGACGAAGCTGCGGTCTTGTGTGGACACGTCAAGGCTCGTGTGTCAAGGTGGAACAGACCGACGGATCCTTTTCCACCAGCATTTGAGGGTGCTTGCGACCAACAGGTGTTGCAAGCGGAAAACGGTTAGAGAAACGAGCACCTTGCGAACGGGGCGCCTGATACGGCCCCAAACGGAGACATTGAACGGTGGTGGAGGCGAAACATTCATAGCTGCGATTAAACTGCAGCATGCTTAGTTTACAGCCAGACATCCAAAAACATATTAGATCGGTGATGATACCAAACAGTGATAACTTGTGCGCTTATGGCAAGAGATGGTTAAAAAAAAAAACCCCCATATGATAATAACAGTAATAGAAACTAGGCTACAATAACAATAGACCAATAAAAACGAGAAAAAGAGCGAACACCACAAGCTTGATTTTGGCAGGTTGTGTGATGAAAAAACAACAACAACACGGCAGGCGACTGTGGAGTCTCTTGGCTGGCATTGAAAGGTGTCGGGGGGGGGGGGGCAGCGGGGAAAGATGCGGAGTCGCGCTCAGGAGACCGAGGAGATGGGCATGTGTGGGGAGCCCATCTGCGTGAGCACCTTGTCCAGCCACTGCAGGGGCCCGTGCAGGTGAATCTCCACCCAGCAGGGAGTGCTCGTCACGTCCTGCCGGTGGTACTCGGCGCCCCACCCCTGGTCACAACGGACAAGGTGTGCGCAACGCCGGCGTTAAACAACATTTCCCGTGACGTACGTGTACGTCGTAAAAACTAAATCGGGGAAAACAAGACCGAAGTAAAATATTGGTCTTCAGGCTCCCGCAAGGCCATGCGGTTTGGCACCAGCTATCATAGTGCGATCGTGTCGCTACAGTCCTCTGCAGTGAGTACAATGTCTTTGAAAACAACGGCGCTAAGCCTCTCTAAATTAAATTAATGCCAAGCCGCATGCGCGTTCCGAGACTCAAGAGGTGAACGGGCCACCCACCCTGCGACTTGCAGAGGATCTCGGAATGGGAAAGGGTTAAGGAGGATTACATCATCCGTCAGGAGGCAACAATAGTGCCACACTTTGTGGTACTTTATATTGTTTTTTTATGCAACATAAACGAACCCATAGAAAACTATTTTTATTTTACCAGGTACGGCCCACTGAGCTATATACAGTGAGGGAAAAAAGTATTTGATCCCCTGGTGATTTTGTACGTTTGCCCACTGACAAAGAAATGATCAGTCTATAATTTTCATGGTAGGTTTATTTGAACAGTGAGAGACAGAATAACAAAATCCAGAAAAACGCATGTCAAAAATGTTATAAATTGATTTGCATTTTAATGAGGGAAATAAGTATTTGACCCCCTCTCGATCAGAAAGATTTCTGGCTCCCAGGTGTCTTTTATACAGGTAACGAGCTGAGATTAGGAGCACACTCTTAAAGGGAGTGCTCCTAATCTCAGCTTGTTACTTGTATAAAAAGGCACCTGTCCACAGAAGCAATCAATCAGATTCCAAACTCTCCACCATGGCCAAGACCAAAGACCTCTTCAAGGATGTCAGGGACAAGATTGTAGACCTACACAAGGCTGGAATGGGCTACAAGACCATTGCCAAGCAGCTTGGTGAGAAGGTGACAACAGTTGGTGCGATTATTCGCAAATGGAAGAAACACAAAATAACTGTCAATCTCCCTCGGCCTGGGGCTCCATGCAAGAATTCACCTCGTGGAGTTGCAATGATCATGAGAATGGTGAGGAATCAGCCCAGAACTACACGGGAGGATCTTGTCAATGATCTCAAGGCAGCTGGGACCATAGTCACCAAGAAAACAATTGGTAACACACTACGCCGTGAAGGACTGAAATCCTGCAGCGCCCGCAAGGTACCCCTGCTCAAGAAAGCACATATACATGCCCGTCTGAAGTTTGCCAATGAACATCTGAATGATTCAGAGGCCAACTGGGTGAAAGTGTTGTGGTCAGATGAGACCAAAATGGAGCTCTTTGGCATCAACTCAACTCGCCGTGTTTGTAGGAGGAGGAATGCTGCCTATGACCCCAAGAACACCATCCCGACCGTCAAACATGGAGGTGGAAACATTATGCTTTGGGGGTGTTTTTATGCTAAGGGGACAGGACAACTTCACCGCATCAAAGGGACGATGGACGGGGCCATGTACCGTCAAATCTTGGGTGAGAACCTCCTTCCCTCAGCCAGGGCATTGAAAATGGGTCGTGGATGGGTATTCCAGCATGACAATGACCCAAAACACACGGCCAAGGCAACAAAGGAGTGGCTCAAGAAGAAGCACATAAAGGTCCTGGAGTGGCCTAGCCAGTCTCCAGACCATAATCCCATAGAAAATCTGTGGAGGGAGCTGAAGGTTCGAGTTGCCAAACGTCAGCCTCGAAACCTTAATGACTTGGAGAAGATCTGCAAAGAGTGGGACAAAATCCCTCCTGAGATGTGTGCAAACCTGGTGGCCAACTACAAGAAACGTCTGACCTCTGTGATTGCCAACAAGGGTTTTGCCACCAAGTACTAAGTCATGTTTTGCAGAGGGGTCAAATACTTATTTCCCTCGTTAAAATGCAAATCAATTTATAACATTTTTGACGTGCGTTTTTCTGGATTTTTTTGTTGTTATTCAGTCTCTCACTGTTCAAATAAACCTGCCATTAAAATTATAGACTGATCATTTCTTTGTCAGTGGGCAAACGTACAAAATCAGCAGGGGATCAAATACTTTTTTCCCTCACTGCAGCTCTTTTTCAGAAACGACCTGGCCACAAATTATAGCCCAATGATGTGGCTTATCACGTGGACATTTATTGCAGCCAAATATTTTAAACGCATGTTGATTCTAAAATGCGTAGGGAAAAACTGTAAGACCCGAAGAAAAATCCACACGACTACGGTGAAAACATGCACACTACAAATATAAATGTGTCAGGGTCGGGATCGAACTCACGACCTCCTTGTATACCGGGCGAGGTAGTTAACATCTCCTTGCCACCGTGGCACCCGAACAAAGAGCCCCGGGTACAAGGCAGGTGGAGGTACAACAACTCTGCGGACTAAACATCCCCAACTCGGTACTCTTGGGTTTAAAGATGGGGAGGAGATTTGGGCTCACTGCTCCCACCACACATGGGGGAATACCAACGGAAGCATCGTTTTTTACACTTTGCGGTAACTGTTTACAGTCTACGGAGCCCAGAGCACGGAGGAACATTTGAAAACCGATCACAGCAGTCGTGCGTACACAGCCAGGTGTCGCACGGTGTGGAGCAGCAAAGTTTTTTTTATTGTACAGAAGCAGATTTCAACTCCCGCAGCCATCCCCATTACTTTTTTTGCTAAAAGAAAGTATACCCGCATATTCTTTATTGTTGTGGGTTTTTTTTTAAGATGCAACCCAAAAAAAACTATCTTGTAAATGCATCCTGAAGCGACATGTCCCCCGAGGCTGTTAAAATCGAACGAAAGCTTCCTTAATGAAAAAAAACAAGACTTCAAAGTTGACAGATAAGCATATTTTTTTGTCCCCCAATAAATTCTAACTTTGCTCAACACAAGAAATGTATCAACGCTTATCGATACGACACAATCAATTGTGCCCCAGCTTGGCATTTCGGGGCCTTTTGAACTGTGCTAGGCAAATTGGCTTCATCAGGCTGCCGCTTGATGATGCCGGTTGTCATTACTGGCGAAACGTCGTACTCAGATTGTAAACGTTGTGGGGCTTTACTCTCCAACACACCGGTGTGCTGTACTAGTAACAAATTGACATGTTCTGTTTACGTGACAACCCTTACTAGTCGGCTGTGTCAGGTGGTGGCGGCGGGTTTAACGACACATTTATATTTACACGATCTAACCCCCCCCAAAAAAAAAAAAAACCCATGTTATGAAAACCTACGTGTTAAACGGCAGTAAAAGTGCTCTGTGCGGAAGGGGTCTGGGGCAGCCCACCTTGACGAAGCTCATGCGGATGATGCACATCTTGGTGAGCTCGTAGACGGCCTCGAAGCCGTGGTTCACAGACTCGGCCAACAGGCCCGCAAACTCCTGGTTGTTGAAGATCTTGAGGCTGCAGCCGCTGGGGATCTTGCACACGGTGGTCGGGTGGAAACCGTGGTGGTAGTTGCAGTTGCGGCTCTGCACGAAGATACTGCTGTCACTCAGGCACTCGGCGAACACCTCCCCGCCCACGTAGTACAGGTGCACGCCTGTCACACGATCGGGGTACACAAAGCGGGGGGGGCAGTGAGCGGTCGAGTATTCACAGTCCTCGAGTCACTAGTCTCGGAGTTGGCAACCTCCGATGAGCACGGTTAGCTACGTACAGTGATGAAAAAAGTTCAACATACGTACATACAACCTGTGTCTCCCGGAGCCGCACGCAGCTCTTTAATGACTGCTTCGTGATGTTATTTGTTTTAAGCACCACTGTCTGTCGTGTTCACATGCATTGAGTCTCTTTTGAAATAGGTTTTTTTTACCGAATTCGAAAAAAATGGCTCCCGATTATTTTGGTTGTCGAAACCCTGCGCTCAGCCATTCAAGAATCGATTTCGGTTGTCTTGTTTGCAAGTACAGGCGAAGCACAGGAGGAATCTATTCTTGTGAGATAGTACCGTAGCAACACCTGGCCAGGCCTGATCCAGGACAGGCATGAATGGGTGTCCGCACCAGATGCACGGACTGTTGCAAGTGACTGGTTGGGGTGGAGGGCGCTCTGATCTGTTGCTGGTTAAGCGCAACGGTAGTTGCACCGTCTAGTTTGCACACTCTTTATTCCCGGCACTGGAATACGCTCACTATTTAGGTAAAACCCAAATTTAAAATGTTTGTATTTCGCAGTCATTGATAACCCCAGGCCAAGACCATCAATTTGCCACAGTTAAGTCACGGGTTGCAGCGTGGATTCAAACCCCGACATCTCGGTGGGAATGCGAGGGGGACCGCACCGAGTCACAAACTGGGCCACCTCGCTTGCAGTTAAACATTCCGACTTCGCTAAGTCACGTGCTTTTTGCATTGTGTTTGTTGTTGCAACGTTCGGACCGCCCTTAGTGGACATCTGTGGAAAAGGGCTTTTTAGCTCATCAGATTCCTCCAGTAAAAAAAAAAAAAATACGTTCAAATTCCAATACTGACGTCACGAGTCAAAAGGAGATTTCCCAAGTTAACCCACAACGAGCGATGCACCGGCAGCTCTGCCAGAGCAGGCGACGTGGCGCGGTGCGACGTACCCTTGCCGATGTGCCGGCGCGTGTTCTCGATGGTCGAGTTGCGGTTGACATGTGACAGGAGGCCCAGGCAGAATCGGTTCTTGTTGTTGGAGGGGTCGGTGAAACCGTCCACCAGCACGCTGGTGGACGAGGCGTGGAAGGCCTCGCCCACGCGGTTCGTCAGCTCGTAGTACACGATGGAGCACCAGTGCTTGGGCTCCTCGTACGTCACGGGCTGCCGGTCTACGAGCGTCACAATAAGGCGAAGAGGTTTTTTTTAACCCGGAGTGAACAATGCACCACCTCGCTGTGCTGGGTAACAATGGGCCCCCCCCCCCCCCCCCCCCCCCCTCATGAAGTCCCCTAAAAAGGTATTTTATTTGCACGAGTACATCCACACTTATAAACTCTATTCTGTGCAAGCAATATCCCAGTAGCAGCTTTTGGCCTCACCGTTGAGTAAAGACGGTTACTGCATCGAGGGCGTTCAGATGCGCTTCTGCGGCCTTCGGGAACGCTCTTCCTTCCAATATTAGGATGCCACCAGAGCGATGCAATTTTAAATCTTGACTGAAAACAAATTTCTTGAGAATTGATAATTGTGTCAAGTTTATTGTCCTTCACCCGCACCTCCGATTAGCAGAGTTAACTACATGAAGTGCGAAAGAGGTTCACCATACATACACATATACAACTGGAGGTGTATATATGTATGCGAAGGTTTTATTTAACCATATATCATCACGCAAGTAAGGGCACGTTGGCGAAGATGGCGAGTTTGCTGCAGCACCCTCTGCTAACCATCATGTGCCGCAAAAACAAAGACCCCCCGTAATATAGCCTTGACAGACTGTTCGGGGCAAGTGTTGTTAGCAAGCGCCTATAAAAGCTGGCATGGCACACGAGGGCGTGGGTGGGTGGACAGCACCATGCCCTGGCGCCTCTCTCCTCAGTGGTGACATTTACACACTGCACCAGGTACTCATTCGAGGCCGAGTCGACCGAGGGGAGGCCCAGGACCAGTTCAGACAATCGTCACTGGTGTTGGCCGTGGGTGGGAATCGTACGATCCAGGCTCAACTCTGCTGAGAGGAGATCACCCCGCACTGCAAGTGATTTGGTAATGGGCGTACGTGCGGAGGACCAAAACATTTCCATTCAGAGGTGGCGTCGCGAGCAGGGCACGCCCACCACGTGTGTGCGAGAACACTCCCCAGAAGATGAAGTGACACTTCAAAAGACCTCTCTCTTATCTGTGTTTTTATTAGGCCGTGGTTGGTTCAATGTTCCCCCTCCACCGTTGTCCTCAAACAATTTGTTTACATTTGACGCAGTGGGGGAAATTCCCCCACTGCGTCAACTTGACAAAATTAGTCACTTTGACCTCCCGAAGTGGTTTCTTGCATATTTAAAGATTAAAAAGTGCAATTCGCGTTATTGTATTAACCTTATTTTATGAAAAAAAAATTATTGCCACGTTTAGAGTATATTTGTTAAATGCAAACAAAAAAAAGACTCCGTTTACTTAAAAACTATTATTTTTACGTAACCCAGTTCTACCGTACAAAAAAAACAACATTTAAGGTATTCTTAGTTCTTTCGGTAAAGTCACGTTGAAGGGGAACAACAAAATAATAAAATAAATATATAACATATATTTTATTATTTTGTTGTTTCCCTTCAACGTGACTTTACCGAAAGAACTACGAATATGAATTACTGCAGTCACGAAAGCTTTAAATAAAAATTTAACATTTAAGGTGTCGCAATAGGTTCATGTAATCTCTTGACTCAAATAAAAAAAAGACATTGACTGACCCAGCAGCAGAATGCCTACACACTTGCGCTTTACAAAGACTAATCCCCTCTTATGCAACAGCGGCTTGAAGGCACAATCAGCCATCTGCAAACATCAATGTAGGCGTGCGGGGGCCCGTACCACCAGTGTTGGGCAAGGTGGAGACCATTGTGGTGCTGGTCTCCATCGATTGACTCCCGTCCTGGCTGTTCTGGTCTTCGGGGGGCACGTACGCTGGAGGTGGCGTGTCCGCTGTACACGCCGCAAAAACGCACCCCCGGTGAGCGCAGTTGGCTACGTACGTCGCGACAGATGATCAACATGCTTGCACAGAAACGCGCTAGGGAAAACAGGCGCGCAACCGTCCGTCAGCTACACTCAACTCAAACTAAACTTTCGTATTATTTACCGGCTTAAAGCCCACCGAGCTCTACAGCTCTTTTTTTTTTCAGAAGCGACCTGGCCACAGATGATAGCTCAACGAAGTGGCTTATCGCGTGTAAATACAAACAGCAGGCAAATGCTCTTTAAAACGCACGTTGATTTTTAAAATATGCAGGGAAAAATCAGGAGAAAATCCACGTGGCCACAGGGAGAACATGCAAACTCCAAATATACAAGCTTCAGGTTTGGGATCGAACCCACGACCACCTGCATACCAGGCGAGGGAGTTAACATTTCGTCACCGCAGTGCGCCAGCCTGGTTTAAGTTAGCAGGCACATAACCAGTGTTAAAAATCCGATTCGAATACAGACGACACAAGCACCAAATCACGTGTGGAAGAATGGACGATTAATCATGCGTGCGTATTTTATGCCAAATTTTCCTCCTAGGCTCATGCCCAAAACGACTGTGACAAAACTAGATAGTGAAACAAGACAGTATAACCGAGATAAAAAGATACAAACATTTAATAGAAATAATTGTGGATGGGTGCAGCAGGTCGTGTGGTAAAGCGATGGCACGTTGGTTCGTGCAGAGTGCTGTGGAACCCTTGAGACCCGAGTTTAATTCGTGGCCACAGTTAATATTAGTTACATCTGAACCCATCTTGGGTACCCCCCCCACCCTGCCACACCTTCACTCACCTGCACTGACCAGCGTGGTGAAGGATGGTCACAAACAGCTGTGGCGAGGCATTTAAACAGCAGTGAATTTATAAAAGGCTGTACATTATTCTATACCAATGATTTCACACGTGTACCGTATGTAATTAATAGCCAAGGTTGGACTCGCAGATAAACCATCCCCACAAGTGTGACGAATTTCCACCACTTGCTAAGGCCCGAAAGAGAAATGATCACGGCCATTTGTAATTGAAGAAGTGAGACGACCCAACTCATGTAACAACAAAAGACTACCGATTGTGTATTGCTCGTGTAGATATAATCAATGGTGTTTGTGAATTTCAAGTACGTCTATGTACTTAGATGTAGTTTAAGTTTAGACATTTAACAAGAGCAAGAAAACCTTTTCCCAAAAAACATTTTTTTTAAAAACTCAAAACACTCGTAAATAACACCGCCATTAAATAAATACATATTTCCCCAAATATTGCCGCAATTACATGCAACGTTCCACCCATCAATTCAGTACAGCGCTGTTCAGTAAACCAGAGTGATTATTTTCCACATAAATTAGTTTCAGTTCACGCGTATCATGGTGTTCATCGGCACAGCACAGCGAGCTGCTTTAATCGCTCCAGTTAATTGTGATCAGGCTTGAGGAAAAATAAAGGTCTCTAACGGTCTACCCAAATCATACCATCCCGAGTTTCACGCAGTTGACAACGGGGAATATGTAAGTGGGACACTATGCCCAATCATCCGAAATCTCAGATCACAGAAGAAGCAAAGTAGAGTAGGCACTATTTAGGCTCAATACTACTTTATAGCCTACAAGGTGGGCAGCAAAGGAGCAGTGTGGCAGCGGTAATAGCTGTAACTGTACTACTATGGTGCTATACATGTCCAAATGATGGGCCACTTTGTTGAGCTATCATTTGTGGCCAGGTCGCTTCTGAAACAATAAGTTAAAAACCTCAATGGGCTTTTTGCCTGGGAGGATGGTTTAGTTTTATTTTAGAGCGTTTTGTTTACTTTTCTTATATTTTGCACTCATGTTTTTTGTTTTGTTTGTTGTTGTAACTTTCTTACCAGCCCTGACTGGACATCTGTGAAAAAGATCTTTATAGCCCATGGATTCCTCAAGTATAAATAAGTATTCTGGATTCTAATCTATGCTCCCTGCCTTCACCAACCTACACTGACTATGGTAGTGAAAGCAAAGTTGAATAACTCCCACGACCTGACCCGCATGGCATGACTACTACTCCTACTATTTTAATTATACCATGTAAGGCCCACGGAGCTTTCATTTGTGGCCAGAAGCGACCTGGCCGCAAATTGATAACTCAACAAAGCTATCAAATTGATAGCTCAACAAAGCGGCTCATCACGTGGAAATGTATAGCAGCCAAATACTCCATAAACACATGTTGATTCTAAATATGGAGGGGAAAATAGGAAGAGTCAGAGAAAAATCTTCATGACCACAGACATGCAAACTCCAACATGTGTTGAGTATTTGGCTTCTATAAATTTCCACATAAGCCACTTCACTGACCTATTAATTGTGGCCAGGTCGCTTATGAAAAAGAGCTATATATGGTTCAGTGGGCCTTACCTGGTAAAATAAAAAAAATAGTAATTGTTAATTTAAAATATACACACATCAGGGATCGAATCCACAACCTCCTGTATACCCGGCGAGGTAGTTAACATCTTGCCGTCAAGAGGCCTTAATCCAGCAGCAGATTGACAAAAGGGTTGTACGTGTACATATACATGAGGGAAATGGGTCTCTGGCTTACATGATAAACTCGTGTGTTAAACAATGTCATCAAGCCAGTGCAGTATTACAAACAAACACCAGCTCCTGGTGCCTTCACGCCTAATGATATGCCGAGCCACTGCCGTTGGCAAGACAAGCTCGCGGATGCCATGCTTTCTAGGACTTGCTAAGCATCAATCTAGATTTGAAGTTCTCGTGACTGCAGGCATCCATACTCTTTGGTTCTTTCGGTAAAGTCACGTAGGTATAAAATAAAATACATTAAATCACGACGTTTCGGGCGCAACACAAGCGTCCGTCATCAGGTGGGACAATCACATCAAGAAACAATTGCTGAAGTGGGCAAAAGGGGCTGCTGCAACAAGAGGCTATATAAAAGCAAGAGAAGGGGGGAGAAGCCAGGGAGGAGAGACAGGGAGGGTGGGGGGTGTGGGGTAGGGGGAGTGGAGGCTACAAGTTAAAGACACAAGCACGGCAAAAAAACATAACAAGATGTTGCCTCAGAGCAAACATCTTGCGCTGGGAGTGGGGGCCACAATATTCAAAACCTCATTTCTGCGGGAACTGGTGGGAACAGACTGGAAAAATGTGCTCGCAACTATTTTTCAGTTCAGGATATACTCTGTGGAGCGGGCTCGTGGGACAAAGTTCGCGGAGAACAAGATGAAAAGATGCATCAATGGCTACAAAGAAACATTGCATGTCACAAAGACAAATGTATGCCCCCCCCCCCCCCGTATAGCCTGAACACTGTTGGGGGGGAAGTGCCGTTAGCGAGCAGCACCTATGAAAACCGGCACGGCACACGAGGGGGTGGGTGGCCAACACCACGCCCGGCCGCCTTTGTCTCCATAATGGCGATATTTACACACCGCACCAGCTACTCATTTGAGACCGAGTCGACTTAAGGGAGGCCCAGGACCAGTTAAGATAAATCGCCACTGGTGCTGGCCGAGAGCGAGAATCGAACTCGGGTCGCCGGGTTTCATAGTGCAGCGGCGCTGACCGCTACACTACCACTCTCCATATCACACACACACACACACGGAGACACAGCTGCCCTCACACCCTTCCACTACCGTTGACAATACAAGCACAGGGGGTGGGGGTGGGGAGGGACATGGGGCTCACCGGGGATCTGGAAGGGGCTGCCGGGGCCCGAGCTTGCAGGCGACTGTGGGTAGCTGGACGTGCTGCTGGGCGAGTGCACAAACGGGTTGCTGTTGGGCTGCTGGAACGACTCGGGGAAGTGGCCCGGCCCGCCGTGCATTCCCGCGGGCTCGCTGAAGCTCGTCGTGAGGCTGCGGAACTGCGGGATCATGCTGAGCTGGGGGTTGAACTCGCTGTGGCGCGGCACGAGAACGGGCGGCAGCACTGCAAGAAACGAGGGGGGCGCGTGGTTAAGTTTCACGCCAAGGAGGCCGATTGGCTCAACGGGCTCTCTCGTACGGTTAGGTTACAGCGGACTGCTGCAGGTGATGCAACGCTCCACAAGTTCACATGGATCACGCTCGTGAAACATGAAATCAAATGGAACAAACAGCACGTTGTTTTGACTTATTACGTGCGAATATTTCCTTTGGGTAAAGCGATTTTGGAACGAACACGAGAACGAACGAGTCCGTAAAAAAACAAGGCCCAGTATATATATACACACGAGGCGTTATATGCAAGACAGGGTGAATGGTGACACGCGAAACTCGGTGCTAAAGTCACGAATCGAAGTGGCTTCCACAGTTCTAACAGTCGTGGGGTGACATTGGTGTCCCAGTGGTGGACAATCCCCATTATGGTGGGGCAGGTATTAACAAACACCAGCACTGCCGACCTCCCAGTGTGCTTCATTCGTGTTTTTGTGCAGAGGGGGGACATTGGATGAGTCGACCCCCACCCCCCCCAACTGAACTGGATTTGAATGCAGAACTTTTCCCGAATCGCAAGCCGTGCACCGTATTATACCGCAGCGCCATCTCACCAGACGCCAACTTCCATTTCATTACCACCCCAAGGCCGAGTACTCTCGGCATTAACTGGCTGCATAGGATTCACTCCGAATACTAGGGAAACATGAATTGTTCGCAATACCATGACGTGCATGCATCACACCCGCACCGTATGTCTACTGACACTTGACAGTTGCCAGCAGATGGCAGTACAGCAAGAAGGCCGATGGCTGACATTCTCCATGCTTGGTTATTTTCTCCAGGAACTCCCCATTCCTCGTGTACCAAAAACAACTTTTCATAATTGGCGGTGAGGTAGAGTGAATGAAACATCACAATTTTGGGTCACAATCGAATTAACAAATTTTTAGTTTTCACATCTCATTTGCACAGTGCCTCTTTTGTGCCGTGTCAAACGCCGTCCTCGTCCGTGCCGTCTCGTTCACTGCAGTAGTCAAAAGGTAATATTTAAATTTGTTCACATCATTTTCCCACGTTATAAATACTGGAATCTTGCGTAAACAATTCAAACGCATGTATCTTGAACACGAGGATTTGCTCAATGCCGTGAAATGCTTAATTCCCAGTAATTACTGTGAGAGGACAAATAATTCGAGATGGCACAGAGGCCATTTTTTTTATGCGGACGTTGCACAAATTGGCCCCTTTACACTGGTTTCACTTTGAATGAAACCTCATCAGCACAGCTTGTGGCAGTGGCCCATTTACCGCACTCCCCTTAAGCTGAAGGTACCAGTGCATCCAAAGCGCTGCGAGAGAAAACGAGGACAACCCCTCTCAGAACCAATCGAAAAACAAAAACGCCGCTAAAGACCGCACACGCAAATTGTGCAACAAGCACAAGCGGATTTTTATTCCACCGCCAAGTATCCCAACAAGCGGGGTTGTGCGCAAGCTGAAAGCATACAAACAAGTCGGGAGGGTATTTACTCTTAATGGCTGCATTCGAATAGATATTCAGAATTTCAAATACCATTGTGTAAAACCAGTGCCGAGTGAAGTTCTCCACATGCCAATATTACGAACTAGAGCACAATTTTTTTTAATGGCATTTAGCCCCGTGACCAAATTACCGAGAATGCTTGCAATCTGGTCAGACCTCGGAAGTCGTGATTAAATCGCAGAGTGCTCGAGTGGGCGATCACCACGGACAAAGCAGGGGGGGGGGGAGGGGGGGAGGGACTGCTGCATGGCTCCATTGTGGTCGGTAATGAGCAGTGCAGCAAAACCCATTGTTGTACTGTACTATGCTAACCTCCATTCTCTAACCCGCACTGACCAGTGTGGTGAAATATGGTCAAATAACCCCCACGACCCGCATGCATTGGGAGAGGCTCTCATCCAGCTCCTCTGATTAGCACAGTTTGCTATGTAGGGTGCGAAATAAGTTCAACATACATACCGATAAATACACACAGACATACAAAGAGGGTCGACATGTGAAGCATTACAATTGAGGTTTTCAGTACAATGCAAGCTACAGTTTTGACATTGCCATTTGGGGGAAGGTAAATATAAAACAAATGCAATTAATTAATCACATTTAGTGTGTTTTTGTAATTGATTAATTCATAACACTTGAAATACACAGTAAAAGAAAGTAACTAAAACGTCCAAAACATACAAGCTGGAAACACACAGCGGCATTCTTTGAACATTTACGGAGAAAATGCACCAGTGCACTGTCGGCGTGTTTAGTCACTGGGTGTCATCTTAACGAGCTATTTGTACGGAACAGGGCAAAGAAGTAGCTGTAATATGTACATCATCCAGCAGACATGAGAGGTCTTTCACTGTTGGACCAATTGTGTCAATGGTTGGACATGAAGCCAGAGACCCGAGCGATTCACGAAGAGACACGGACAATTCACAAAGAGCTGCGGCAGGAATTAGGGGTGGCTCTTAAAAGGGGCTTCCGCGCCAAGGATTCTTAACGTCAAACAGACAGGGGACCACATATCAAACGGTGAGCTCTGTTATAGATCAGAGCGGACACCACTTTGTGTAATAACGCATGAACAGACAGGGGGAGACACTTTGTTGTTGGAGATGGTCGTGTTTTTTTGTAGAAGGGGACGATCAAGGTCGAGCGAGACTACACGGCAGAGGAAGAGCCCTGGGTGTGGGCGAACGGTCAGAGAAAGAACTCTGCGCTCTGTTGGCTGGGATAAGATCAGGTTTATCTCCGCAAGTGACCTTGACAAGGGGGCTTTTTTGAATTGCAGCGACTGGTGGAAATTGATAATGAGTTCAAACTTGGCACGAGGCATCTGAAAGCAAGCAGCTTGCTAGAAAAATAAGGGGCAGTAGGCAATGTTAAAAAAAAATATGGACTGTAAAACCCACACAGAAATGCACAAAACAAAGACAAAAATGCCAACGAATTCTACTTAGCCTTGTCTTGACACTGGAATGACGACGCTTAATTTGTTTTGTAATTATTTCCAACTTTGTTAAATGACCCAATGTCAGTAAAATTGCTGGCTACACGTGTTTATGCGTAACAGTTAAAAGAGCCAGCAATCTTCTGCAGCAACACAACCCGAAGTGCAAGCCTGGCACAAAGGTCGCACGAAACCACACATCACAGTGATTAACAGCTGCTGTTTAAGCAGGCCGGTCTAACGGGCTCAGTGTACGCAGACAGTATTTTGAATTATCTGGGCTCATTCAAACAGCAGAAACGCGTGAACTGTGCAAACGAAACACTTCACACATTTTGGCAAGTGCAAAAAAGACGCGCCAAAGATATCAACATCCATTGAAAGTGCAAAATGTAAATTGTGAAGCATGTGTTTAATATCAGGTGAGCATATCGAGGATATGTCTTGGAGCGGTTATGTGTGTATGTAAGTTCAAATTCCTTCGCACTATACGTCGCCAACCATGCTAATTCGAGGTACGGGGAGGGAGGACAACAATCTAAACACAAAACGCAGCATAAAACGTCACCAACCTGCAGCCAAACTGCACCTTTTTTTTTTTAAATCGCAGCGGCAGCACCTGGTGCACTGTACCACAGAGGGCCCTTCACCGGCAAGACGCTTAACAGGAGGAAATGAAATTAAATTTCAAAAAGGCCAAGTTGGGAAACTCATTCATATTTTATGCAGCAGCAATTACCCGGCAGTGAAAGGATTAAAGGGGGATAACACCAATTCGTTTTGTTGGATGTTTGTGTGAGACAAAAGGGGCGAGAGGGGGGGGGACAGGGGACTGCGTGGCCACGGGGGTCATTATTTATACATAAGGGTATAGTGTAGCGGCCCATAAGCAGGAAGTCATTTGGGAGAGAGGCTTCTTTCTCAGAGTGACCTCACGGATTTTCTGGCTACGATCCCGTATCAACTCCCCGCTCATTTTGTAAATTATGCAAGGCCTTTTGCACAGATATGGAAGCGGCCAACCGTATAAGATTGCACTTAAATGCTTGCTTCTTTTTTTACCCTATTTGGCCACATGCTGAACTGTACGGGCTATAGGCACCGCTGTTTTGAATGACAAATGCAAATAACAAGTCTAGTCGGTGTCAATTATAGCCATGTCTATTATTACTTACAGAAATATGAATTCAGAAAATTGTTTACAATTTCTATTGTTAAAACTCGGGTGTCTCTTGGAAGCGATAATTCATCTCAATGGGGCATAGCGGCGTGCACCTGTAAATGAGCATTTTAGAAATGTAAGGTGCCCCCAGAAGATGCAAATGGTGGTTGGCAATACGTAAACCGAGTTGACGATTCCATCTCTGTGGTCCTTTAGAGTGTTATCCCCTGGCATACATTGGCTTTTCTCCGGGGAATCGTGCACCCTCCAACATACAAAACACTGCCTTCAAAAAAGGGAATTGGCCAATTGTTCCAACGCACGCCTCTTAAAAAAAAGTGGCAAGATCCAACTTAGGCTATTGTGGATAAATTACATTACATTTTTCACTGTAGGTACAATATCAGTAATTCAGTATTGTAGCAGCAATTTTTGTAGCAGATTCACATGTGCGTACAAAAGCCACTGCTATTATTCACACGGTTTATTGCAAAAAGGCATTCATTATTAAAATGCTGCACTGGCGATGACATCAGAAAGCGAGCGACACCCGCTATCAGCAAACTACGTCCTCCTCGGCTGACGCGATCGCAACTCCTTTGCTCCCCACAACCACTCTCCTCACCCTCCACTCCCCCCCCACCCCGCTCACTCCTCCACTCACCAGTGGGGCCAAAACCAGACAAAACACAGCACTCGGTGACACACGGGAGGCAGCCCTACACCTGCGGCACCCCGGGTCATGAACGCGGGGGGGGGGGGGTGCTCCAGCCAAGTTCCCGTGAGCTAATGAGGTGGGGTGAGCTAACAATTCCGTAAAGGCGGCAAGCGTTAAGCGTCAGCAACTCGAGTGGAAACTGCGCATCACGGCGTGGCAAGTCGGGCAGGCCGGGTTTGAGGTGGCCAGGGTGACGCAGAGGTCCGAGCGCTGAGGTGGCCATCCCCGAGATCCCGTGGTTTAAAATCCAGGAAACTGGCGATAATTAAACTGGGATCTTAGGCGAAATTTTTGATGGCTTCAGCTTGGTCACCGTAGAATGCACGCAAAAAAAATGTGTCAACTTTGATTTTCGTTCTGCAGTTAACCCTTTTCCCATGATGTACGTGATCAGTTGTTCTTCAGATTCGGAAGTAAATGGCCATGCCGGGGGGGGCGTGTGGCACAGGTTGGCACCAGCTATCAGAGTGCAGTCATGTCGCTGCAGTTCTCTGCGGAGAGTACAATTTGTTTAAAAACAGCGGCGCGATGCCTAAAAAAAAACAAATTAACGCTAACCGCTTGCACGTTCCGAGATTCAGCAATGAACTTGCAGGCATCTCGGAACGGGAAAAAGGTTAATGTGAATAGATTTCACTTCTGAGAATTAAACATTTTGGTCGAACTGTAGCGCAATGAACATTTCTATCAGCGTCAAGAGTGGGTGGGAAAGTGCTGCCCTCTACTGTGTAGAGGAGAGGTCACTTGAAGGGATCTCAAAAAGCCAGCTTTTATGATATCCAATTCCACGAGCCATTCTCTAACACGAGGGGGGTTGCACCGAGAGCTCCGGGAGATCTCAGAGGACACTTCGTCTCATGACGTAGCCAATAGCACCAGCGGGATAAAATGAGTGGGAAGGGAGCTGGTAACCCAGACAGCAAAATAACCCAAGGGAACAAAGAACAAGTCTGTCAGTGAGTTGGTAAGGCAGTGAGCAAATAAGCCGATTGATTATTAAACTGGTGATGAGTCCATGTAACATTAAGTAAATTAAGAAATCACTGTGATGATAATAATCCATTGAAATACTCCGCTATTCTGTCGGTTATTAGGTTGGGTAGGAGATCGAAATAGCAGATTAATTATTTAAGTGCGAGTGAGCGAGCGAGAAAACAAATAAGCGCTTGAGCTCATTCGGGTCTTAATTTTCCTATGCTACCTCCTTCGTCTGGAACTCACTTGTACCTACTATCTGTGCCTTCGACTCCCTGCCACTGTTCGAGTCCAGGCACACTATAACTTTTACTCTACTGAATAAATATTTCTACCATTTCTGTATACAGCATCTCGGGACGGCAGTTGTACTTCATCGCAATATAAACGTGGTATTATTGGTATCACGCCAGTGAACGAGTCGCTGACAGCACGTAATGTAATGACACAAAGAGCAGGCTGGCGAACGGGCAGGCCAACCTAGTGGTCCGGGAAGCCACCCATCACCGGAGGCTCACACAGCCCAGGTGGGCAAGCCAGGACAGGTTAGGGCAGTGCATCGTCCCGTGTCCGCACTGCTTGCGAGACACAGACAGACGGACCTCCACCCCCCTCCACCCAGAGCCCCGCCGGGAAAACCCGTGGCGCCACCCGTTTGGCTACTGGCCAGCAGCCAAGGCGATGAAACACCGAGCTCCTCCTGGCCCAAGGGGGAAGTCGCGGCCGATTTTACCTGCCGCTCTGCTCCCCCCCCTCTCTCATAATGCCTACTCCGCTCGGCAGAGCTCAATTCTCTCCGCCGTGGGCTTTGAAATTCATAGCTTTTCCCTCCGTTGCTTAAAAATATCATCCTTATAACAAGAGGCGGCTGAGTGACTCAGGGGGCCAAGGATACGTCGGTGTCGAAGCAAGAAGTGATGAGGCAGCACCGCTGAGAATGCCGGGGTTCATACCGCAGGCTCCCACCTGAGATTACGCGAGGCTCTCTTGTGGAGCTGATGGGCTCTGACTAGTCATTGATGACTCAAAAAATTGTGTTTTTCTTGGCCCAGACTCGCTCCGAGCTAAACGTGTAAAATGGACGTTAGAGGCAGTCTAAACGCACGATCGAGATTATTACTTTGTTTGACGCAGGTATATTCTAAAATTAACTTCCATGGAATGATACTACCTATACCCCAATTGTATTATCTATAATATGAATGGTTACATTTTTGGCTAAATCAAGAATTGCAGTTGCAATGTTTTTTTTTTATGTTAAAGCAAATCCTTTAAAGTGTTTCAAATTTAGACGACAGTTTCTCAATAAAGCCTCAAATTCATGTTGGACAGCCTGATGCACACAGCCTAGTTGTGCACCTAACAAAATAAACAACGAATCGGTTTTTCCCGTTGGGTTTATACTCAAACAATGTGTTGGACAAGCGCAGCCTAGGAGGGACACAAAGATCTAAACTAAACGCCTCATCCGACGTGCCGCCTATGCAACGAAGCATCACCGTGCCTTCACGAGCATAATAACAAGTCCGCGGGGACACCCAACGCCGGCGGTGGGGGGTGGGGGGCTGAGGGGGGGAAACTCACCCGGGCTCTCGACGCGCTTGTAATGGTACGGGTTGATGCACACCTCCTTCTGCTTAGAGCCAAAAGGAAACTCGCAGCACTCGAGAGGCTTGAGCTCGTGGTGGCTCTGCAGGTCTGGCCAGCGCCACACGCGGCAGTAGATGACGTGTGGGAGGCCCTTCCGGTGGGACACCTAAAATTAAATAGGCAAGGGTTCGGGTAGACAACGCGTTATAACGGGGTCTCTCTCCACCAACATGAGCATTGGGGTCCTTCAGACCAGCCCTTCTCTCCATCGACTGCTGAATTAGAGCCTTCCCCGCAAACCGTGCAAACTAAAGGGAAAGCTACTTTTTATTTCACTAGGTCAAGGCCCACTGAGCTATATAGCTGTTATTCAGAAGTGACCTGGCCACAAATGATAGCTCAACGCAGTGGCTTATCGTGTGGAAATTTATCGCGGCCAAATATCGTAAACGCATGTTTCTAAATATGAAGGGAAAAAAAAACAGAGGACCCGGAGAAAAATCCACGCGGCGACAGAGAGAACATGCAAAGTCCAAATGTACAGGTGTCAGGGTCGGGATCGAACCCGAGACCTCTTATACATCAGGCGAGGTTGTTAACTTCTCGCCACCGTGGCACCCTGTGTGGTTGTGGGGGTTATTTCACAAATACCGTTCCAACTCTGGTCAGAGAATAATAGATGGTATAAAGCAAAGCAGTATGTACTGTATATACCTCTAGGTATGGGTATACACCATAACTTGAAATATAGGTCTACAGCAAGACTTTATAAACCTAACACTGATGACGGACGCTTGTGTTGCTTCCGAAACGTCGTGATTTAATTTAATTTATTTTATACCTACGTGACTTTACCGAAAGAACCAAAGAGTAACACTGTATTGGCTCATGTATGACTCCACAGTTCTTGATCGTTTATATATAAAATTAGAGGATGACTATGAATAGATCTAAAGCACAGTTTGCTGCGGGTAACGAACGAGAGACAGGTGAGAACATCACCTAAGTGCAAACACTTAGGAAAGTCATTACTACGTTTCTCTGTCAGACTTGCTTAGCTGTCAGTACGTGGTTCTGAGGAGGACAGATAGAATAAAACCGTATTTCGCCAATAACACCTGGTAACCCAGCAGCATTTGTTTAACAAGCCAATATCTGCTGATAGGGACCCAGAAGGTGAAAACCAGTCCAGAGTTTGCTTGCTTAAATTATCAAGGATAATATCGGTCTGGGAAGCCAATCGGCCACTGAACCAATACACATTCTATTTATATGTGGAGATGCAGAAGGGAGTTCTGCTTATAATTGCGTGCACTCTGAAACAACAAAGATACAAAGATACAAAGATCCCCCGGGTACAGCCTTAACAGACTGTAGAAGCAAGTGCTGTTAGCGAGCACCTATTAAGGCCGGCATGGCACAATTAGGGGGTGGGTGGCCAGCACCACGCCCGACCGCCTTTGTCTCCCCAGCTGCGATATTTACACGCCGTACCAGGTACTCATTTGAGGCCGAGTCGACCCTGAAACCCACACACATGTACACACATTGCACACACGGCTGCCGAGCGAATCACCTGCAGGCGCCCGTCGAGGGAGCGCGGGATTGTGACGCATTTGCTGGGTTGCCCCGGCGTGCTCAACGCCTTCTCCAGCTCCTCCAGGGCGCCCTTCTTCTTCTTGAGCTTCTTCACGAGCGAATCGACCGCCTTCTCGGCCCACTTCTCCTCCTCGTCGCCCTGCTTCCAGCCGAGCAGTCGCTTCACGGCCGGGCTCGTGAACGAGAAGAGGCTGGCTACCGACATGGCTGTCGCCGATGGAACGATCGTCCCTCGCTCGGCCCCTCGGTCCGCTCGCTCTGCCGCAAGCCGCTTTCGTCCCGCCCGCTCGCCGCTCGGTCTCTCACCGCTCGTCCCACCCGCGTGCGTTTACTCCCATGCACAGGAGACGCGAACCCGACCCCGACCCCTCGCCGGTCTCCGCTAACGGTTCTCCCGATCCGCCGAGCGTCTCCAACCGGAGCCGCCGTTCGCGAGCGGCGGATGGCGGCGGGTGGCAGCGCCTCGTGCGCAAAAAAAAAAAAAAAACCCGCCCCCTGTCTCATCCGCGAGTCGCCCGGGGCTCGAAGGCCAGCCCCTGCTAGCGTTACGCTCTCGTCCCCGGTCGAACGCCGCCAGACAGGGCCGTCTCGTGTCGGCGGAGTTCAAGTCCGAAGTCGCTGGAAGGTTTCCAACGGCTTCGCGTTCTTGGCACTGCGGAGCAGAAAAAGGAAAACCAGGGTAGAAGAGAGTGGAGGAAAAGAGGCTCAGTTCCAGAAGTCCATTTTCACCACCCCCCACCACAACCACCCTCCCTCCACTGCTGTAATCCAACCCGGTTGCACCTGTTGCGGTAGTAAAATAAATATATTTTTTTCAAAAAATGCAAATGTTGGTCCAAATCGTATTAGCGTGCATTATGAAACGTAAATATTTTAAAACGTGCAACAGCTTAAGTCGATAAACAAATTATCCACACCAACAACTACTTTAATTTGCTTTCAGCACTGGCAAGGACAACGTGGAGAGTGCACCTGGCATGTGCGGCGCGAATTACAATCGGTCGCATCTCGGGGGCTACTCTACAAGCCCACCACGGTGGCAATGACAGAGAAAAAAAATAATTTAAAAATACAAAACACGTGACCATAAACAAAAAAAACCCGACAGCGGCATTGGTCGCTTTGCGGGCAGGAAGTGGGTGCCCGCAACGTCCTAATGCTTCCTTCCTCACCGCTTCCACCCCCCAGCCGGTGTTTGCGTCGAGGGTTCAGCCGGACCGTGTGTGGGGGTTGGCAGGTTCAAGAAGGGAGCAGCCGACGTCTCGACTCCCGCCTATCTGGAGGGCGCAACGCACATCGCATTGCGCACCGCACATCACGCACATCACACACATCACACACCGGCAACAGGGGTCAGTGTGAGAACGTCAGTTCAGGCACAAACCTGCAAGCGTGCCAAGAACAATGGCAAGTGTCGTCGGGCGAGCGCATATTAACGACGGCGAGGAGCAAGAGAGTGCCGGTGTGGTAAGCGCAACATGCTCAAGATGCTGCCCTTTGTAAAAAAAATATATATATATATACAAAGGGACGTATAGAACTACAGCGGTTCTATTTTAAAGAACCTTACTTTATTTAGGAACCTCAAGATGTCTCCTGTGTACAGAGGTTTGCTTACAGTTCTTTTCCAATTTGGGACCACCTTAGCGGACAAACGCCTGCAGTTAGGTCGATGACACGCGGCCTTCACCGTTACCCAGCCGACTTTCACAGCTATAAGCACACTTCGCAAGGTAGAATTTAAACGCCAAAAGCGGGATTTGGACCGTCGCACCCAAAACCACACACACCCTGCCTCAGAGGGGAAAAGGCAATAAGCACAAGGAAAGCCAGCAAATAGTGCAGATGGTTTAATAAAAGAGGGCAAATGGGAGAGAGATGCCACAATTATTACGCACTGTTTACACAGGTTGCGCAGCAGTACACTTGCTCCGAACTGACCATGTTATCGAGCGAAGTCACCGGCGGTGCGTCAAGGTGATATTTGCGCGACGAGCCAACACGGCAACCAATATGGGTTTTCTCACCACCTCCGATCAAGCGGAGATGTGTAACGCAGCAAAAAAAAGCACACATTCCCGCCCTCTGGCTGTTACCACCAACGTCGTCATCAACTAGCACTCGGCCCATGGGGCACAAAACCCCATGCGAATGCACGCATAATAGGCCCGACTGAGACAAACGGAAATTACACATTCGCCATTAGTCACCGAGGAACGCGTGCATGCACCTGTTGTTCCAAGGCTGGGGAAGGCGACTGAGGAGGGAGAAAGTGCATTTTTTTGGGACGGGCGCATATGAGGTTGGTGTGTGGGGGGGGGGAGAGAGGGAGGAGGGGTAGTGTTGGTTTCGAGTGTGCGCGGCCAGAAACATTCCAAAGCCCAGCTCTTCCTATCAGCCATATCCTGCTGACCAGATGTCTTCCTGCTTTTAAAAACTGCTGCCTCCACCCGACCCCCCCCCCACCACCACCACCGCGCGCACTGCAACGGTTGAACTTACTGCATCAGAGGCTTATAAGCCCTAACACATTCACAGACCCGCAGAGACAAGTCGGTAGCAGCGGTAGATAAAGCTAGTGTTTTAAAAGGGGGACACACACATTCGACGCCAGCATGACTGAATAAAGTGTCACGATACGGGGTTGCGATTCGATTTTTTTGAAAGTGTTATATTTACTTGTTTTAACACTTCTAGGTGCCTAAATAGTAAACGAGAAAAAGAATTAATTATTTATACAAATTAAAATAATGAGCAACAAACAAGACACGGATTCACACACGCTCGATTCGCCAAGTGTACTGTGAATGTCAGAAGTAATTTTACTTTATGTATTAAGCCCCAAAATCGATTTACATCAACACCCACAATGCATTTCTAAATATACATTAGTAACCTCTAAAATCAAGTGTACACAATTCTTCATAGCAGAGATTGGAATTTAGAATAAGGGTTACACCATTAAGACTGGCAAGGCACAAAGGTGGTGCGTGGACATAATAAATATCTCCAAGGGTGAAGCGAATAACAGTTTGGAACAAATCACTGTTGAAGGCAGAGTTAACCTAGCGGGGCGGCCAAGCCAGCTTAAGATTGTGACGCAACTTATAACACACCATTTGTTCCACCACTCTCCCCTATCTCAAAGATGAAGATTCCCCACGTGGCCTTTAAGAGTCTGTTAGAGGGCACCTATTAAGAGCATGGCACAAGAGGGGTATGCGTAGTCATCACCCAGGCCAGTCGCTTTTGCCTCCTCGGTGAGAATATTCACACAGACTGAACTATTTGGGCTCGAGTCACCCGCGGGGAGGTCCAGGACAAATCACGATAGCACTTGTCACAGAGATGTTACCTATATAACCAGGAATAGAACGCAGGCGCCAGGATCGAGAGCACAATGCACAAAATTCCGCATCACCACCCCAAACAAAAACAAAGATCCCCAAAACCCGATTACCCTCGCACAGCTTTGGGCCAACTGCCAGTTAAGCAAGTACCTATTAGGCGAGCACGGCATGCGAAGGGGGTGGTGTGAACAAGTGAGCAGCACCACACGAGGCTGCCGTTTGTAAAAATAAAAATATTTAGAAACTGCGCCAGGTACTCATTTTAGGCGAAGGCGACCTCGGTCGGGGAGGCCCCAAAAAAACATGTTCAGATGCCACTTGTCACGAATCTAATGTACATTTCACCAGGCTCGTAGTGCAGTGCTAACAAACAGACCACTGCTTCCCTCCCCCACACTAACAACCGTGATCAAAGACAAATATCCCCCCCCCACCCCAATGTGGCCTTGTATCATCTTTGGGGCAAGTGGTATAAGCATCTATTAAGGCTGGGGACATCGAATGTGGGGATGGTGTGGACGGCAACGTGGTTGGTCACCTTCGTTACCCCCACGCCGGGTTCTCTTATCATGTCGAGTCAACCTGGCGGAGGCCCAGAACAGTTTCAGATAACACTAGCCAGTGATGCCAGCTGTGGCAGGGAATCAAACCCAGGTCCGCTGGGTACGTAGTGCAGTGCGCCAACCACTGCACACGCCACCACTCTCTACACGAGCATCATCAGACACGCACGCACAAACACAGCACGCGCACGCACACACACACACGCAACGTGCGACGGCAGTTTTCCATCCCTGTCTCCCCTTCCCCTCCCAGCGCAAGTTTGGCAGCCTTGACACGCGCGTGCTACAGGAAAACGGCGCTTTTCATAGACTCGGGGCGTGGGGGAGGGGGGGCACGGGGGGGGGGGAAGAGGGCGCGCGGCCGTGCGCTCCGCCACACCTCTGCACGCGCGGCCATCGCATTGTCCCACTGCAATGCCGTGCTCAATTTAGCACTGAATTTAGCCCGCCACCCCCGCTTCTCTTCCTCGCTTGCCAGCCTTCGCTCGGCAAACAATAGCCCCTTTCCTTGCAGGCCCACCGGCTGCACAACATATCTAAAACGTGCATAAATATGTTATTACACGCGCGCACGTACGCACGCATGCACGCAAACCGGAGGAAAAATATCGCACAGCCACCCACCTAACCCCCAAGCACCTCCGGGCCCCCCACCCCATCCCACTTTCAACTTGCTTGCTGACAACGATGTTTGTGAGCACATATTTCAAGGGCACGCGATGCGAGGGGCAGTGGGGATGAGTTGCCGTACCTGGGCCATCCATCTCTACAAATTGGAGGAAAGCAGACATCTTGAACAGGGGACTCTTTTTTTTTTAAGGCCGAGGCAAACTAGAAAAACTTTGGCCAATTTGATACCAATTGTTAGGCTAATGTGACCTATGTTTAGATATGATGTTCCACCGAGCTTTGTGACGTGCACCGCTGAACCACCACTCATCCACACTCAACACAAGACACAATCTGAAATGTCTTATGTTCGGAGCAGCAGCCAAATTCACAAGTTTTATCATCCGAGTGTTGGAAATGTGTTATCACGTGAACAAAAAAGCTTTGGCTCTTTGCGCAATGCGGGGGTGAGTGCTTTTATCAACAACACAGAACACGTACACACAGACACACGTGCGCGCGCACACACCCAGGCACACAAGATGCACACCCTAAATATTTTATGTAGTTTAACTGCACGATGCTTTCAACACTTGGGCCAATTTTCCACGCTCCACAATGCCCGCGTACAAACATGTGCGTCACACGATTGAACAGAGGGGCAAGCTTAAAGTGGCGGGCTCTCTCAAACCCAAACATATCGTTATCGCCGCCACCGCCGCTCAATCGACCAAACGGGATCCCATTTATCTACTCATCACTGGCTAACACCCCAAAACACTGGCACTCGCACGCCCCCCCCCCCTCCATACAAAAAAAACACTTGCACAAAACACTGAGGTGGTAAACTTTCCGCTTTGTTTTGCTTTCCCAATCACATTATAGTATCATTATTGCACCATAGAACTACTCGGCGGCGAGGGAACATAGCACGTTATTTCGTGATTATCATGCAGTCACTATTATTAACTATACTGTAACCACATGTATATAACCAATGATATTGTATATTTATCTTATGTTAAACGACAAATTATTACGTGTGCTTATGTCGTCATCATCATGATTACCTACACTGATATAACTAATTGTATAATATATTTATATTTTGTAACTTGCCGACCTGCTCATACTGGACATCTGTTGAAAAATAGCTTCATGGCTCATCAGATTCCTCCTTCTAAATAAAAATTATAATGTTGATATCATGTTTAACGACAATATTATTATGTAGTAATTATTATTAACCATACTGTAACCACATATATAATCAACTTAATCATATATTTAGATAATGTTAAATGACCATTATTATTCATGTATATATGTAATAAGTCAACGCCTTGAGTGCTGATGTTTCTCTGAAATCTATTTCTCTGGAGATAGGGCTGGTGGATCAATAGATAATCATGTGCATGATACTAATAACATGTACCGCTAAAGTGTGGCCAGTATATGGCAGTACAGCAAGCTGCTTAATATTCCACCAATTTGAGTATTCCTTCAAGGTAAAGTGTGTTTCTGGATTATTAAGTTTCCTCCAACATGTTGAAATATTGAGCATGTGGCCAAATATCCCAAACTGGACCCGATCTGAAAGTCATAAACGACTCAGTGAGGCTATCCTGGTGAATCAGCAAAAGGCCCTTTTTCCCACGTTGTTGTTGCAATGAGACAGACGACTCACAATCTATTTTCACGTAAAGTGTGAGTTATCTTCTTGTGAACACAGCGGACCAATGTTGAACTTGAGAA